AAGACAGAGAACCATCCTCCTCCATGACGATGCCCGGCCGCACACCGCTAGACAGACTCATCTAAAGTTACTGGACCTGTGCTGGGAGGTGCTGCCGCATCCGCCCTACAGCCCCGACCTTGCCCCGTCCGATTATCACCTTTTCGTTGCCCTGGACCGTCACATGGGTGGAAAGCAGTACGCCAACCGAGACGACCTGAAAACCGATTTGGCCAACTTTTTCGTAGCGCAGCCGCCAGAGTTCTATTGGAATGACATCCATAGTTTGCATAAACGTTGGCGTGAAGTGATAGAGGCCAATGGTGATTACATTCATGATTGAGATGATTTTGCTTTTAAATAAACTGGGTTGTAATAATTGTTCATGAAATTCCGAGAACTTTCTTTCCAATCAGATATGTTGGATTGGCTAAATATATGGCCATTTCATATATGGCCTTATATGAAATTTTCATGTGGGTAACAACTGCATCTCCAGGACTCCCAGTTTTGCAGGAACTCTAGAAAACTGTGGTTACCAAATCTTATATTTTCAAGCAAAACTTCAGGTTTTTAAGAGTCTTTACCTTCCTACTTTCACCTATGGCCATAAACTGTGAGTGATGACCAAAAGAATCAGGTCACTAATACAAGTTGCCATATTGAGGTTTGTGCAGTGGGTGGTTTGTATTATGCATCACAAAAGGATGTGGAGTGCCAATGAGAACCTCCAGGCCAAGCAGATAATTTTTTTGGATCAAGAGATCCCAACCCCATTGGTTTGGGAAATATCTCCTGCATGCATCCTTAGGAACTATCAAAAATAGCCTCCCAGTCAAAAGTGACTGGCAGAAGACCTGTCAGCATAGGCCTTATGTAAGGTGGACAGACCAGCCATCCCATAACAGGCTTTGTATTGATCCTGCTGAAGGTTGAGCCTGTCACCAAGGATTGGGAACACTTGATTTGGAGTGCTCTTGCCTGAGCCAGGACCAATTAACCCTTTCCTTGATGTAGATGAATTTTAATGTCATGACTTTCCTGATCATTGCCTGGTGTGGTGTACAAAATTGAAATAGGTCATACCAGGGAAACGTTAACTTGTCCATATTCTACCTTAGAGCTACATCAATGCCCAATGACAAGCTAGGAGCAACACTATCATGTATATTTGGTATTATTAGAATGTTATATGGAAGGGTGCATTTGTTCATTTGTTCAATCATTATAGAGGCAGGAGGAGGGCTTTGTTACTCCAATTAAACCTTCCATAAATAGGTTAATGCAAATGTCATATAAGGTTTAAACATAACTCCTCTTGTAAGGAAATGTAACAAGCACATACAAACCTGTAGTGCTGGAAAATGGGTTGAAGGACAGAATAGGAGGGTCCTTGTGGAGGTTTTCTAGCCATAGACTTGAAGGCTGCCTTGGGTGGTTTCTGGAACCTCATTTTCCTAAAATTACTCATGTTCATGTCTGATTGGGTTTTTTGCATCACATCATACCCTTGATAGGAGGAATATCCCAGAGAAGAAGGTCCATTCAAGTATCTCAAGCTCTTCTTCCTTTTTGAGTGCCATCTTTTTCTATTCAGGTCCCTAGCAGATGCAAAGGAGTAATTGGGTATGAACTCTTTCCAGTTCTGGCCAAAGAAATTATTGCCCTTCCTCCACGAAGCAAATAGCAAATATTGAGGCACACCTGATTGATGCCTGTTCTCAGTCAGATACAAAAGAACAGGACATTGAAATGCAGCATGCCAAGGAATTCTTCTGGGTGCTATCTCAAAACTGAGAAGTGTCTTGCTAGACAAAACTGTAGCTCTACAAATGCATAAAAGATGCAGGGCATGGGCTGAGAGCTAGCACTGTATAGCCACTACTGTATGTTGACTAGGGTGTTTGTTTACCAAGGGTGCCTGCAAGAGGGGGAAGGGAGCTTCAACAGTGGAGCAACTGTAGATAACTGCTTTTTGTACTGTGACATGTGGGTGTTGGAGCTCATCTGTCCAGGACCTGATCCTGATCGAGACTTCATTGCATATGCAGGAGTCATGCATGCATAGCTACATTCGAACATGAGGAAGCAGCATAAATTAAAATGGCAACATACCTCATGAAAGTCTACCTATTTGTGGATGATTTCAAAAAGGGCCAAAGGAAAACAGGGAAAATGAGACAGACCTCTTATTCCTACAGGGTGTCTTAAAAGTCTGGAAACAGGAAAATAAATTTAAACATTCCAAGAATCAAAGATTATGCTTGATATGTCCACCATTGTTGTCAAGGCATATGTTTAGTTGCTGTATCCATTCTTCCTGAACACTTCAGAGGATTGCCAGCCATGTTGCTTAAAAGTTACCAAATTTGATCTGCAAGAAATAAACATACTCTAAATTCCTGTTTTCAGACTAAGAAACCCTGTAAACTGACTGGGGGGAGGTGGATTTTGGTCATTAGTGCTGATTTTAAATGTGGGCTGAGAGAGGCAGAATAACTATTAGTATCAGTAGCTGGTCTCATAGGCTTCAACCTGCAAAGAAAGTTGAAGCCATCTTTTTAAATTGTTTCATTGCAATTGCAAAATGACATTACTGATGGCATTAGATACATGAACTTTTGCAGCATTTGAGCAACAATTACTTTTTTGCTGTGTATTTGAAAGCTGATTCCTTTGATTTCTGACCATCAGAAATCAAAGTAAGGCTGTCTTCACTGATTGTAGATTTCCTTATTGATTTTTATATCTATTACTAATGACAGACAAAAATTTTGGTCACAATTAGAGACTTGCAGGAAACCCTCCAGAAGTAGCATACTAGCCTTGGGCTCACATAAATTAACCCACACTTCCTCTCAGCTTCAATGACATACAGTGGATTTCACTTTATTGGGATACCTTGGTTCCTGGTTATTTTACACCAATATAACAGCTGCCCCATTAATCAATTGCCCAATAAAGCAGAATCCACTGCAATTCTCTTTGGGACACTATTTTTCTACCCCAGAATATTTCTGAGTACTCATAAATTACTTCACTGCTAAGGTACATGTACAAGAGTATTACATATGGTGAATACAGGGTGGTCCACAATCGTCTCCCCAAAAATAAAAGCTTATTACTCATGAAGTATGCATCTGATTTCAATTATATATGGCTCTCATGACAGCCAATTCAATATATTTTTATCATGAAAATTGTCAATATTTTCTATCAAACTGAAACAAAGTTACATCCTTACAAATGAAAACACCCAAATCACCAGTGTTTAATATGATTTCTGCAATTTTCAATGACTTAGTGCAGTCTCTCTTTGAATGCCAACAGACATCTTTCAATGATCTCTGATCCTGTGGTGAAGGCATCTCTAATGGCCTTTTAAAAAAATATTTTGGTAGTCATAGGTCTGTGATGTATCTCTTCAAGTTTAGAAACCTCTCATGAATTGTCTTCATGATCTTTTCATCAGGAACTGAGACGTTCAGACCCAAACTGAAGAAATTTCCAATTTTTTTCTGCACAAATTTGCTCTTTTCAAATTGTCAAACCAATTAGAAATATTAATCTTCTGCAGGATACTGAGGTCACCCATGACACATACAATCCTTCACAATGGATGAAAAACCTACAAATGAATTGCGAATTTCAGATGAGATTGTGATATTTACAAGCTTTAGTTGCACAATATGGGTACTTTCATTAATTCTGGTGTAACTTTGTTCTACTTTTGTACAGAATGCTGACATTTTCCACAATAAAAATATACTGAATTGGCTATCATTTAAGCCATTTATAATTGAAATCAGATGCATACTTCCTGAGTAATAAGCTTTTAATTTTGGAGAGACAATTGTGGACCACCCTGTACTTTTAAAACAGGGCTTCCCAACCCAGGGGCTGCAACTCCATTTGGGGGGGTTGCCAAAATCATATTTGGGGCCATGAACTGGCAACTAAATGCCAAGTTATGTTTTTCGTTATGATTTTAGCACATAGGTAGGGGAGCCTGTCAAACTTAGGCCAGTGCTTGGGGTCCTGAATGGTATGATTGCTATTTTTGGGGTTATGCATGAAAAAGGTTGGTCTGTTTCATATGCAGTTAGAAAAATTAAAATTTTTTGAGTAGTGGGATAAGAAAAGACCCCAGAGAGGAAGTGAGATTTAAACTGAATTCGTAAGCAATAGCAAATGGCCATGAGTGCGTAATACCTTTTCCCCTCCTGATGATCATCATCACTTGATGCATGCAAGATTTCATCTGCAGCTGAATCTGCAGTCTGAGTGGCTTGGGATCTGTGATTTAACCAAGGGGGAAACAAGAACTCCTGACAGATGCAGATTCAGTATTGGGTTTGAGGTGAAAACAGGAGGCAATACCTGGTTCTTGTCATGGTGAGGAAGCTGACCTGAGTTGATACATTCACACACTCTCCCACTCGATGAATGTTTGGGCGCGATAGATGGCTTTTGAAGCATTGATACAAGCCAAGATAGTAATTAGGGGATTTTACTAAGATTACAGTCAAGTTCAGTTTTTTTTTCTATGGATTTCAACTGCCAGTGGCAGTTGGGCAGTGGATCTATAGATTTCTATGGATTTATGCAGTCTTAACAAGTTGCTCTTTCTTAATTGGGAAAGGCATGTTATCTTCCATAGGAAACTTGTTACAACCCATAATGGCATTTATGGTAATTTTGCAAAAACTGAAATATAATGGAAGATCCAACAATGACTGTTCTTTTGAAAATTATCAGCAACTTTTTTTTCTTGAAAGGCAGACCACTGACATAATGCCTTTCCAAAAAAGAGAAACCAAAGAGAGCCTCCCAAAAAAAAGACATCTGAGAATTAGGAATTTCTCCAAAGGACTACACAGAAGAAGAAAGAGGGAAAACAGAAGAAGAATCAGAGGAGACTGCATGGAAAAGAGAAAAGACAGGTGAAATTTTTACCCATATGGGTACCGGAAGGAATATAGTCCCATTCCCCCATCATGCCATGGGGTCCATCCCACTGGATAGAATGAAACACATCCACTGCCCAACATAAAAAGAGAGGGACATTGGTCTTCAAACTCCATCAGTGATATGGTTAATTCATTCCAGCTCATAATAAAATGTGCTTTTTGGTAACTACAGCTCCTTGAGAATAAGAAGACATGAAAATCTTCTGACTGGTATCTTCATGGATCAAGCAAATATACAAATGCTTTTAAATCGATGATGGGAAGTGCAAACAAATATGATTAATTTAAATTAATGGATAATGAAAAAACATAGAAATTGTTTCCAACCAATAATGTAATTCAGGAAGCAGATATTGTTGCTTTCTGCTTAAAAACCTGAGGGCATATCATGGCATTGTTCAATATCAATGCACTATTGAATATTTATTTATTTATTTATTTTAAATACATAAATTGCACTTTTTAACCACAAAGCAGCACCAGCAATTATGCTGATGTCATATGCTGTCTATTGTATGCAGTCTCAGGACATCTGAAAACTACTTGTGGCTGGTATAATGTTGTAGATGTTTGTCCGACAGTCTGCAGACTGGTATGTGAACGTGGCAGATTGTGATGCAACAATCTACTATTGCTAGTGGTTTGCCGTTGATTTTTGCATTTGAATGGACTGGCAATGTTGCCACTGAGACATGCTCAATATTCCATGAGGCACATGGCAACAGCCATCAGCAGAAAACTGATGTGTGTAAATGGCAAAAACTATCTGCCCTAGGTCATATTGGCTTCAAGGACAACCCTTACATAAGATGCCCATCAATAGCCATGACAAAGTCAACATCAACAAGGTTGATGTTATTCAGTAACATCTGAGCATTTCCTTTAAACATCCATCTCCATAACATCGCCATTGACAACAAATGTTCTTCCACCTTGCATAATTTCAAAGAAAGGAGAAGACAAATAATTTTATTAGCTTTTTCCATTTTGTTCAGCATAGGTTGAATTTTTTACAATAAATATCATAAGATGCAGGAGGTAAATGGAAACTGGAAAAATCTACGACAACAATGCACCACTGATAAACTTTGTGTCTGTCAACAGTATCAACAATGCTAAAAGGATGCAGGAAAAGACATTAGTTTCATGAAGTTAAATCACAATGCTAAAATGACAAATTGCTTTTCCAGGCTATGTATTGAAAGGGGAAATTCAGTCATGGTCTCTTGGTGAGGATTTTGAGACAGATTCCCATTAAGTCCCTTCCCCATGCAAGTGTATCAGACTTCCCAATTGAAACATCAGTTCCCAGTCATTCTTTCAAGCCATCAATCATGATAGGGCAAAAGTTTTCTAACATAAAATATCTTCATATTCTTACAATTTAAAAAAAAAAAGCTTCAAAAAACACCCTTTCAAAATGAGGTGGAATGAAGAACATAATTTTTTTGCCTTCTGAGCAATTTCTTCTACAGATGCTCACCTTAAGTCTTCATAATTTTCATAGTATTCCTGGTAGAGGTGGTGATAGAGGTGCTGACAATAAGTAGACACATATTGAGATCTAGGGAAAGTAAAAATTGATGACAATTGCTTCTGCTTGTTTTGACAGAGATAGATAATACAATTTAACTGTTTCAAGAATGCAAGCATGGGGAAGGGAAAGATTGGTGGCAAAAAGGCATGAAAAAACTCACAGATAGCTGAGTCTGAGCTGTTCAGCCTCCAAAACAGAAAGGACATTCTGAGGTGGAGGATAGGGGAGGGGACAAGAACTCGATGGAATGGGACTCAAGTCAGGTGAAGTCAGACTCAATGGGTGTCTGGATAATTTAAGAGGGGGATATAACTGCATACCATCGAAATATTTCAGCATAAATTAAAACTTTAAATTTCTGAGATCCTGAGATTACACCACCAGAGGCTTTGAGCATAAAAATAACCTCTAATGCAATGATGTTTTAATATTCTATTCTATCAGCCACTATGCAGTATTCAAGAAGTGGATAAATTGCAGGGGAGGGTACTTTATGCCGGTATGGATGCCGTCGGAATAACTGATACTTGGGGGACCTCTGACATCACTGATTGGGAATTAGAAATTCAGGGATTTGACTTACTGCGTAAAGATAGGCTCGGAAGAAAAGGTGGAGTCATGTTGTACGCCAGAAACGAGTTAGGCTTCTATATTTGGAAGGAGCTCAGCTCTGTTAATTATTGGAAAAAGGTCTAAGATACCATTTGACTCAAAAGTGATTTTTGACCAGCTGCAGATTTGCTATGGGAAGTTTTCGCTGTTTATCTCGAATTGCATCTTTTGCACATACGCCCTTTTTACAGAGAACTCCTCAATTGCGGATCAATCGAATATTTATGGCGAGAAATCGGTGGGGTAGCAAGAAAGATTTTGCTAGGAATCAGCTAAAGACCGCCAACTCCTCCAAGAAACGAGATTATGGCGTTCTGGCGTTAATGAGTCATAAGCGACAAGTCCCAGAAGGTATTGCTCTTTGGAGACTTTAATATGCCCAAATGAAACTGGTCATTGCCGCAGGGGGGAGCGAGAGGAGTGGGGAATTTCTGGATGCGGTTCAGGAGGCTCTTCGAGTCCAGCACGTGGAAGGACCAACCAAAAATGCCGCTTTACTCAATTTCGTTCTTGCAACGGATGATGTGTTACGCCCGATGTTTACACTTTCAGTCCCGGGAATTTGAATGCGCTATGGCTTATACCCGTCACATGACGAATATGGGACTGAAAGTGTCAAGTCCAAGATAAACTGGGGAACTCGTATCAATGCACCATTACGTGGGGTATTAAACGAACAAGACGAGACGATAGGCCGACGAAGGAAGCGTACGACTACAGGAACAAAAATGGAACTCGCATAGGCGCACGGGGAATCAGGCAGAGTATGAGAAATAGAGGAGTGCTACGAAGTCTTGGAAGAGGGAAATTAGAAACGAGAAATCGAAGAGAGGCTATTGATTAATGCAAAGAATAATCTAAAGGGGTGATTCCATCATGACTAACACAACAATCAGACGAACAGTAAATCAACTGAATTTTCTCTGTCAGCTTTTATCAATCCACATAAATATGCTTGTTTCAAAGAGATTCCATTTTACACCTGTTATTCTGCACTTCAGCACAAATAAATACAAATGCTTGCCAGTGAAGCTACCTGTATATGAAGCATGTGTGACTAACAGCCATAAAAGGACAAGTCGGTTCCCACATCAAATGTGCCTTGTGAATGCTTTGAATCTGGTATTCTTCCTGCAAACTCATTTGCCCCTACCTACCAACATGCAATAAAGGTCACATGGCAAGATGTCTCGATGAAAACGCTACGTTGAATCAACATAGACGCTGTTACTAACATAACTCTGTTCTTTTTACCCGCTGCATTGCTTTTTTTTTCTTTTGACTGGTTGGCTTTAAATGGCGTGTGTCCCGTCATTGTTCGAATATCTTGAAATACCAATCCATAAAAGTGCCACCAGGAGAAATTATTCGAGTACCCACTCAAATTTATTACCGTATACATACAAGAGATGTTGCGCACAGCATTCTTTTTCCTCTCATTTTTCTCTTCCCCCTCTTAGATGTTTCTCTGTGTCCTGCCAAAAAGGCTTTATCCTACTGCTTTCAAAACGTTCATGCTTTCCTTAGCGGCAATTCCATCCGTATAAGCGTCCAAAAGAAATGTTACAAGGTAATTTAGAACTCACACAGCAGGATTTGCAATGGCATTTTATCTGCCCATTGCTGGACAATTCAACGCCGCCTGTACATTATTGGTGTGTATTCGCCAACCTTCGAGCGCTGTGCACGTGCCACGTCAGGAATATGTCTATTTAGGTTTTCTTCATGCCATATGTCAAGTTCAGATATCCATAGGCAAAAAAAGGGTTGATTCCGCTGTGCATGTTATACCTTCTCCGAGAAACATGGGAAGGCATGACAAGGGATCGAATTTTGGAATCCCTCGAGGGAAACACTCTACTCCGAAATTTTCAGCACGGTTTTAGGTGGGAACGAAATCGTCCGACCAACTTGCTCCAGTTTTACGATTGGATGACGGAAAAAAGGGTTAAGGAGATTTTGTCGATATCGTCTACTTAGACTTCGCGAAAGCCTTTAGTACTATCACACATAAAAGACTATGCACAAAATTAGAAGCGCACGGGATCCAGGGTGGCGCGGGTAACTGGCTTTTGGGAAGTGCAGGGTGTGGACCTCGAGATGGTGACCAGAGGATAAGAGGGGGAGGAGTCACCTCCTCCCCTTCACCTCCGAGAGACTTCCCCCTAACCTGAACGGAGGAAAAAATCTTCCACGGGCAGAGACTGAGGGCTCATTCTGTCGTATTAGTCACCTGTGTATATACGTATAGATGTGATACGTCATTTTCTCTTACCTCCACCTGGGTGGACCATTCTGTAGGTCAGATGTCTCGCATTCTGTAATATACTCTTGTTCACTAACGTTAGGAAACATGCGCGGCGGGTTGCGATGTCCGCAGAACAGCGTGAGGCCGCCAATAAAAGCCCACATACCACAAACAACAGTTTAGACAACGATTTTCGTTCTGCTGCTTCCCCTTCGATTTTGTCTTTGGCTTGATCTGGAACTTCGGAAAAAGGTGTCCCTAGTTTTATATTGTTATAACTCGAAAAATACAGGAAATGGAAGGAATAAAAAAAACCATGTTTGTGGTCGATGAAAGCTACGGACTTGGCTAACTGATAATCCTGGAATCCTGAAGAAACATTGGAAAGGGCATGGGGGTCCCATCCCTTGGTCCCCCAAGGTTTCCGCTTGGCTTCTTCTTCTGGATTTACGTCATGATTCTTGTGTACACATCACAGATGTTCACCCATCATTTTTAGGAATGAGAACAGTCAGGCAATGACTTGTTCACATGAAGACATATAAGAATGTACTTGCTTTCTGCTATCCCACAATTCTTTCCTAGTAACGATTACAAGATGCAGTATGGTCTATAGATGTAGCAGAATTCCAGCATGAATAGAAAGGAAGCCAAAAATTAAAGCAAGGCATGATTTCTGTTCCTGTTTTGATGGTGGAGGGTCAATTTGACTCATATGGTCAATAGTTACCTCATTTGAAATACAGAGAGGCATATTCTTCCACCTGACAAACAAATCAGTACCAGTAATGGAAACATGTGAAAAGTGATGACAGCCCAAGAAATACTCAACCCTCCAAGAAACCCAAGATTACTGGGTAAGCTCCTAGCTGCATTATCACTACTGTTATTAGCTTAAGTCCTTCAACAGCAATAAGGGAGTGAGGAACTCACCCGACTCTGTAAGATTTCTTGTTGACAAGAAAATTTTCTGCATGGCTCCTGCGGTGACTTGAGGACAGAAAGTCTGCATGGATAACAGATGGGAAGCGATAGGTCATATCCATATATTTATGGTGTGAAAATCTCCATCACAGCCTTATACTTTCCAATATTAGGTCCAAGATCATTTACACAGCCACAGTTAATCCTGTTGGAAATGAAAAGGTTTTCTATTACACCATGATATTTTCCAGGCATGACATTTTGTAACCAAATTTGGTTCTTTTTTATGTGAACCATAAGAGCTTCCAGTATTTTGTTTCCGCTGAGCCTGGAGTATCATGTGTAACTATCTTTTCATTATCTAATAAACTTCTTCCTAAAGAACTTCTCTCACCTTGAGCCCCAAATCCACATTGTGTTCATCATTAGCTGTCCACTGAGAGCATTGGGAAGTATAAGATGGCTACAAAGTATGATGTAAAACTCTTGTAAAACCATAACTCACTAGTGCCACTCTTAGTATAGCTGCAGATCACAATGACTGTGAATACATCTGCAGCCTGTAATAACATAATAACAAAATCACTGGAGTTGCAATACCTCAAGTCACAATCTGTGTTAGTGTAATGCAAAATTGGGTCTCGAGGAAGAAAGAAACCAATTTTAATGATGAGGCTGCACCTCAAGCAGAAGTTACCCAGTTGTCTTGACAGCTAACACCCAAAAGAAGATGCTGTAAATGTGTGAGAAATCTAAGGGAGCAAATTAATTTTTTCAAAGTAACCACTGTAGGCAATAGACTTTGTCTTCACATTGAAATTAGCAAAATTTCTTTAAAAATGAGGGAGAGGAGGAGGATATTCAGCCTCCACTGAGTGCCATGGTACCCAAACACCTGAGAATAGCTTGAATTATCATGTCCCTCTGTGGGGAAAAAATTTGAACTGGATTAACCACCAAAGGAAAACCTCAATTCATATTTGAAATCCAAGCCATGTTCCCAAGCACGAGAACCATACGTATCAGCTCCCTTCTTTCATGAAATCAAAATTTTCTGTTTCATTAAAAAATTTGCAGGAATTAGGTGATTTTCAACATGAGAAACTATAAAAGTCCTATCACTCTTGAAGCATACCCCCTATGGGCAACCATTACCCTACAATGGCAAATTTTTTTTGCATAAATATGCAGTCTTCATTTCAAACTCTATGACCACTTCAATTCAGTTGGCTTTAGGTCTGATTAAATTGTATCTTGACTCATGAATCAAATATTGACAATTGGACAAACCACTGCGTGTGGTTATCTTGCAAAGATTCAGTACCATCACAGATGTCTTTAATTTCTAAGAAGAGCCACATTTAGGGTCTAGTTTTAGGGGGGAGGAAAGTTGGGTATCAAAATATATACAAGTTATAACCAAAAAAATGACACCCCAACTTATACTCAAGAAATCTCTGCTAATTCAAAGCTGCTTTCATGAAATGTGCCATGTGCAGAAGGTGACATGCTTCCAAGAGGCAAATACAATTTCATTAAAACTCACAGTATTAAAGCAAATTAGAACTTTATTCAAAAGAAGCTGAATATTGAAAATGGTTGGGACCTTGTACTAGCACTGCTGTGGAGGCAACACCTCTGTATTGTGGTTGTTATAATCCAGACCATATCGAACATCTCTTCCATAAAAATTTATTGTTCAGCTTAGCCTTTCACTGCAGATGGTCCTGATAAACCTTTGTCCAGTTTAAAACTGATGAATCAATTACATATCAAGACAGAGTGTGCTTGAAGTTAATTAATTTAAACAGCATGAGGAAGCAGTCTAAATTTAGTTACTCAGTAGGGATTGGAGTTCCTCATATATTTTCAATTTCTGCTTTCTTTCAAGTAATTGCTAGCTGCATTACTTTGGGAAATGAATTTGCATACAATTTCAAAAGGGCATTGGGAGTGCATTAGTGAAAGTTGGTTTTTTTTTTTTTAGCCAATATATCTCTGCTCTCAAGCAATTTCTGTGAAATATGCTTAGTACATAGATATGTTAACAATAGACTTTTGACAATTCGTTTGAGTTGGTCTGGTCAAGGCTAGGTTTAAAGCAATTTTCCAAAAATATATTAAATTTTTTTTTTAATTGATAGGGACCTCCAGTCCCTTCTAAGTTGCTGGATTCTGCCAGGCTTGTTCTCTGACAGAAACCAAAGAAAAGTGCAAAGAAACTTTGAATAAACTCTCTGCATAGATACTTATGGATTTACCTTTCATTCTTCAAAAAGAGTTCATCAAAACCATCTGCAAGAAAAAGCCAGCCCAAAGGATGAATTTCAATGTGGTATGGATGATATGTAATTAAAGCAAGAAGGTGCTTCCTCCATTCCACTACCAGCACAAGCTCTTGTTCATTGCCAACATCCTACTTCTTTTTAATAATTGCTTATTGCCTTGCCTTTGCACAACAAATTTAGAAGAAATGTCAAATACATATTTGACACTGTTCATTCATACACACTGAAAGTTTCATTAAAATAACTCCTAATGGGAGCAGAGATAACAGTAGTTCATCTTATTCCTTTGCCATACCCTGTAAATGATTTCATCCTTTGGACCAAATGATCATTCTTCAGAGAATTGATCATTCCCTCTGAATATCAATCCCAGGGAATGCTTTACTCCTTCCTGATCTTAAGAGGTCAGGATTTATTTTGGAATTATTCCTGAAAAATCTTTTCCTGATCTTAATTTCAGGATTAATATTATATTATCTTGCAATTCAATTAATTCAACTCTGAATATTTGGGATAGCATGAAGGAGAAAACAAATAAGCAGCATGAGAATTCTTTATAATGGGTCTATGAGAAATGGCATATAACTCCCAGAATTGGTATTTTACACATTCCAAAGATCAGCATTACCTTAATCCCTAGACACAGAATAAAATCAATCCCTGCCTGAGATAAATTCTAGCTATGTTTTGATCTTGCCCTCTGGGTGAGATCAGCAAAAATGAAAGCAGATCTACCAAAAAATATTCATTGATTAAACTTGAAGTTTTGGTCCTGGAATTGATTGGTTGCCTCTATGTTGATATTGTCTCATATTCATAACAGAATGAGATGAGTTGATCTGCATTAAGTAGCTGCTACTTACAAGTAAATCACTTTTCCATGAATGAACAATTGCAATAAAATGAAAAGGGTGACTGAGAGAAAGGCAGGATAAGTCAATGTTACTTTAAAACATCAATGGCTCAGTATTTAATAATTAGGGGACACGTTGTCCATACAGTGTTTTAGCGTTTGAGCAAGTACAGGCCTCTCATAACTCTTTAGCAATTGTCCCTCAAGGGCAATTTTTGACAGGCACACATGACCATAGAAAAACTTCTTGACACTCTTCATCATTACATTTCTCTACTAAGTTTTCTGCACTGATACAGAGTAGATAGAGCAGAGAATAACCCATTTAGAATTGGGAATATTGGTAAAAAAATATATAAAAAATTACCAGCAGTAAAAAAGTTTTCACCACAAAAGTTTGAGAGGAAAATTGGCAGCAATAGGCTCCTTATAGTCAATAGATTGGTTCTAAAAAAGAACCAGTCTTTGAGCCTTTCATGGATGAGTGAGTGAGGTCTCTGTCCTTGAATATCATGTCCAAGTCAAAATGATAGTTTGAGCTGTGTGCATTGGAAGGATCAAGGAAGTCTCATGCATACAGTCAATAGAGGCCTTCCTAGGCCCTTCTCCAAGTTACTGTATTAGCATGTTGAACAAATGCATTTAAAAAAATCAATGCTAAGCTGATACCAGTCTGTAATGACAAGATATACTGGGGTAAATGGCACCAGTTCACAGGCAGGTGCCTATTTTGGGAATAATTTGCAATTTCAGCATTCCTATGTAACCACCACAGGAAATTCATATTCGAGACTGCTCAATTCAATTGGTTCCAGCTTGGTCCAAATATCCAGCAAAGATTTTCCAAGATGGCAGACTATGCTAAGTTATCCACAAACTGGTGCCTTTACTCTATTACTATACAGAATTATTACATAGGAATTGCTTCTTATAAAGTGGACCCATTTTTCAGGGTTTAATGACAGTTGACCAACAAGGAATTAAAATGTTGCCATTGAAATTTGTCCCTTAGAGTTTATAATTGCAAAAGTTTGGAAAAAAATCATTATGATCACTCATATCTTGGATTCACAAATCTGCTAATTTCTCCCGAGATTAATGTCACACATGGACATGATGCTCATCTCATTTGTACTATGCCATATTTTTCTCTTTTTAACCCTTTTAGTGCCATGAGGTTGATTTTTTTAGCCATCTAACAACAAAAAGCCAAACTATCTAGATATGTAAAGAAACCTAATGAAAAGCTGTGGCTGAAAAATCGGCCATAGGCATGTTTTAGTAGGAGGCCAAAACATGGCCAAAACAGCAGTCCCATGGCACTAAAGGGTCTAAACAGCCACATTCCTGAATGTTGCAATAAGAATGAGCACCTCATTTTTAAAATTAAACTTAGCATCAGCTGCATGCCGTGTAGTAAATATCAATCACATCAAGATTTAGAATAGAACAAAACTTTTAGCATTTGTTGAGACCTACAACTCAGACATAATGCTTTTTTTTAGAATTACAATCAAAAAGCCAAAAAAAAATTCAAATTAAAGTGCCTTATGTTTGCAATAAAAACTTCCAATTTTCGAGATACCATTGAAGTTCTTTCACCACCTTGAAAAGGAAGGGTACCCCTTTCAAATGAGACCAAATTCATATTTTAACTTGGATGTAGCCTTATGACAAAACAAGACCAACTTATGACTTTTTTGAATTTCCAAGCTTGATAACTCCTGATACCAGAGAAAAACTAATACGAGTGTGTTCTCAGTAAAAAAATTCCATTTGGTACTACTGCCATTTTTGTATCTTGATAGATCTAAAAATTGTAAGATAGCAATGACCAATGACTTCTGCAAAATGGCTGACATTGACTGTCTCTGTGGGCCAGCCGTGGATATGGATATTTGTTACACCCCCCTTCCCCAAGTCCCTCAACAAACAGCTCTGAAACTCCATCCACCTCATGCACAGAAAAAGTACATTTTATGACTCCACTTTGAATGACTGTTGGTTTTTATTCAAACAATCTATCTGCATAAAACTTTCATTTAAAAATTTTTGTGGTGTTTCCAATATGATACAAGAACATCATGAGCTTAGGTCATCAACAGTGGGTTTTATAAAGCATCAAGCACAATGGTTTTTTTTGGGTCACCCATTATATTCTCTGCTTGGGTTTCCCCTTCTTGTATTTATGCATGTACTTTTCATTCCCTCACCTCCCTTTTTTCCCCATTAACCATAATTTTGTTTTTTTGTTTATTTTCCCTCTCAATTCACTTTCTGTCTTATTTCTTATCCCACACCCTTTTGGTTTAGCTGCATATGTATGTCTTTTGTGGGTTTTGTACAGCCCTATGTATTTGTTGTTTATATATATATATATTTATTTATCTAAATTTAAATTTTTTTGCCTTCCTTGTTTGGCATCTGGCTTTAGTTAAGACATGTGAATTTGTATCTCATTGCCATTTAAAGTTCATGAACCTCTACATATTTAACTTCAGGTATCTTGGACATAAGTAGTCAAAGTAATTCCTTTCCTATATATACTACCATCCAAAAGATATGTTACAAGGTAACTTAGGGCTTGCTTGTGTAATAGGAGTTGTGATGACATTATATCTGCCTTTTGCTGGACAAGTCAACACCATCTGAATATATAAGTACATTGGTACCTCGCATAACGAACGCAATTCGTTCCAGTGGTGCGTTCGTTATGCGAGGTGTTCACGAGTGAAAGTGAAACAATTTTTCCTAATTTCCTTGATTTTTCGCGGCAATGTGGAACAGATTACATGATTTCCCATAGACATCTATGGGAAATCATGTTTCGCATAACGAACACCTCGCATAATGAACGCACCGCTGGAACGAATTGCGTTCGTTATGCGAGGTACCACTGTATATAATAGAACTAAGGATATTTATAGGTCACCAGCAAGAAATGCCCAGGCTTGGTTGTTTCACCAATATTTTGATCTCTAGTTATTTCAATATCTTCTAAGTAGGACTTTTGGCAAGCTGACAAATAAAAAAAAAAATACCAAACAAATGCAAAAATTAAGTTCAACAGCATGAGTAATGTATCATTGGAAAGAAGTTGGGGAGAGCTTTCAGAAGACACTAGTTTCAAGTTTTTATCTTGTTTGAAACAGGGAATACAAACAGTCCAATTTAATGAAAATTGGCAAAATTAGATTTTCAAATTTAATTTTGTTACCTTGCCTACCGATGCTCAAAATTTTCAAGCAAAATTTAGCAATATTATCCATTTCTGACAATGCACAAATATCATGAATATACCATTAAATGCATTTAATCAGATTATGCATTGTTTCAGCTTTCATTAGAGTCCAAAAATCCTTCCCTAGCTCAAGTAAGACCAAAGACAGCACTTAGACTCCAAAGATCACTTTTCCATTTTGGGGCCAACTCTGGGGTCACATATATTATGAACTGAACAGAACACTGATATTTTCCATATTTCTTAGAAGTCAACATGCATGAATTTTTTCAAACAAATTGCAAAGCACAGCAAAAAGTTCCTTGAATTTGACCATTTGAGCTGGAATGCCACCATTGTACTTTCCAGCCAATAGCAGGTGAAATGGGGTTTAGCTCATGCAAAGTCCCATCCTGAAAATTTCAGTCTCTGTCACTTGAAATCAGATATTAATATCAGATTTCATTGTGTAATACTATTTTTAAAAAAAGTTCATGGCTTTAAGGGACATAGTTCAGGTTTTTTTGTGGTGCTGCTTCATCCTTAAATCATGATTATCAACATTAAAGATAAGAATCACAAATGCATGGATGGGCAACCAAGCTACACCAACACAATTCAGACTTCACCGATTTGATCACATATGGGGAGTGATATCTCACACTGACCTCAGTTCAGTCACTCTGAATGCAATGTGCATTCATTTGCTTTTGCGAATCTTTGCACATAAAAAAAAATAAATATTCAAGTTAAACCATGGTTTAATTCTTTTAAGGAGTACTCTCATGACTGCAATATCATCATATATGTGCAATAGCCAGCTTCAAACAACACTGACTGAAAATACTTTCCTCAGTAAAAGATGCAGAACTTTCTCAATGTATTTACTTTCATGCTCAAGGACATTCCATCCTAGACTGGCAAAAACCACAAGAGATAGGTCACAGTAGCAGAAATTCAGATTTCACTTCACCTTCACCTTGGAAATGATGAAATAAGGGAGAGTGATTTTTGTGATGGTAAGGGAAATACCAGTACTTAATCAATGTCACAGCTCAACAAGGCTCACACTCCACATTATAACCTATTCAATAGAAACTAATGCCCATATATATCACTTTTAAATGAGATTTACTAGACAAAGAGGGGTCAGAGTCCACTTAATCACAAATCCTATTACTAATGCAATCAAGAGAACTGCACAAGAGAGAACATCAGAGGTACTGGAATGTCAATCCAGAGATACTCCCTTGATTGACCATGGAACATATGGATACAGGAAAAATTCTGGAGAGCCTACTACACAGCACCATAGCTTCCCTTTAGAAGGAAGGGACACCAGAGAAGCGTCTGAGTTGCTCAAAAGACACCCAAAATGTGCATGTCCAGGGTGCAAGTCGAGCCCAGGTTGGGAAGAAGCCCTTATAGAGGGCAAAGAACCCTTCTTGCTTCACTGTCTTTGAAAGGCAATCAATTGTTGACTGATACCACAACCCCCTGCATGAAAAAAAAGAAATAAAAACTATGTCAATTTCAGGCACTCCAACCATCTGCTACTAAGAACTTTAGAGACTTATCAAAGGAAATATCACACTAGCTTTTAATAGCACCACAGCAGCCAGGAGAGTAGATACTAAACCATGGTTAAGAAATATGAAATTACTAAAAAAAAGGTACAGAATGAAATTCAAGCAAACCTATACTGACAAGCCAAAGTTAGGATAACTGAAAAGTTAATTTCAAAAAGTCATTTTCTTTGAAGTTCATGGTCTGAATAAAACTGATAGAATAGTTGTATATACAGGGCTTACCGTCCAAAATCATCAGTGGGTTGATTCATGATTCGTGTCTTCATTACATCCATGGGTGTACTCATCACTGTTGAAATGAACCCTGAGCTGATACTGCAGGGGAGAATCAAAATAAGTTGATTGTAAACGTAAGTACAGCACAAATTTCAGCCAATTATGAAATTCCATTGCTATCAAGCAAGAAGACATTTTACCATTTGCTTGTTGAAGAAACATGCAAGATCCCAAATGATCTCCTTATGAGAATAGAACTTTGGATGGTTTCACTCCAGTAATGACTAAGGAGACTTTATGCAGTATATATTGGCCGATTCAGCAGATCTCAATCCTTCATCCTCAATTATGGATGGGTTATTGACCAGTCAATTAAAAACATGGTCAATATTGTCAACTATGGAGGATTATGGTCATAAGGCCAACTTATACTTTGTTTTTTCTTTCAGCGTGTGTTCCATTTGTATGTCATGACTCCTACATGATAGACTAGGCATGGGAAGTTGACTGGTTAACATGGTCACTCCTGACCATATATGGAATATAATGGTCAACCAGCCCAACAAGGTTAGGCCTTATAACTGTATTTAATCATAAATGACCATGTTGATCAGTCAACATCTCATCACTAAGATAGACTGTGCCATATATATTGCATGAGTTAGAACATCAAACAGTAATCATTCATGTTTCAGAGGTAAATTCTGTGACTAGGTAACTCCACAAGTACTCTGAAAAATGAGGAACGCAACACATAGTTACCAGAACTGGAGTTTCATGGTTTCTGATATTAGCATTGATTCATGTTCCTGCAAGAAAAAATAGCCTCTGCCTTGCTCAATTAAGTGCTTCATAGCTAGATTAATTTTTTTAGGCTTTGGCCAAGGCAGAATCCAAGTACTTGTCCCTTGATCACAGACTCTGAGATTTGATACTCTGATGCAGTCTATTGGCCAAGACCATGATAGACCTTGCATTAAACTGATATTCTACAGCTGTAATGTAGATCTTGAACCATGACTTTCAGTTATTAAGGCTGGAAGACCTTGAACAACAGGCTATGCCTGAAACACACTCTATATCACTCAGGTGAGAAGTCCTGGTAGTTCAAGTATCTGCTATTATATTTTTATGCCCATCAGGTACCACAGTCCAGATGTTTGGCAAGCTGCATGAAATTAACTTTAAAATTGAACTGGTTCTTTAGTTTTAGTGCTGGAGAATAAATGATCACATTTATGAGCTCTATAAAAATTTCACATTCACTGAATAAAAAAAAAGCGCAGTAAATAATGGTCAATAACTGTCAATTAAAAGGTAGTCAATTGACCATCCCATCTCTATCCTTAATCCATATCTACTATATTGTTGGAGCCTTGTCATCCAAAATTGTCAACGACTTAACTATCATGCCCAATAATTCTTGTGTAAACACAGCTGTGCCTCCTGCCTAGGAATTCTTGTTTCAGTTTTTATTTTAAATTTATTTTTGTCCCACAAACTAAAAAATGAACCAAAAGTGAGATATAACAGTCTTCTTGTACATTAGCATTTCTGAAGTGATTTAGCATATAAATATTTGGACATAGGATGCGTACGTTCATTTAGAAGTCTTGACCATGGCTGTACTGATGCATTGGCAACAACCAGTTCAGGTGCCAATATGGCACCATCAGAGCTTTTGGCCCTTGGTTGCTTGCAAGTTGCTGATGCTGATGCCCACGGAAGAATATGGACCATTCCATGCCAAATGGCCAGATTATGAATAAATTTGACACTCAACCATCTCCAAAAAAAAAGTGAAAAAATTCTGAGCTAACAGGGTTTTACATGAAACTCCAGAATCTGACTTTTTTTTCATTGGTACATGAGATATGAACACACCTTTGAACATACCAGATATTGAACAATTTCCTGCTGTCCTATGCCAGAAATATTTATTAAATAAAATAGCTTTTTTTTTTCTGCCAAAGTTCTCTACTTTATGCTATTACTTCTCACTTTACTTCCTCTTGTGATACTTTCCCTCCTGTGAGGGGGAATACAATCAGATTGACAACTCACCAAAAATGACAGCTTTCTTTTTTTGGCCCAACCTGTATATGTATATTTGATCATTCAGCTCACACCACTCCACTACATCCAATGTGGCCTGCCACTCTAAAACTTTGGACACTCCTGGCATAAAAAGTGAATGTCTTCTATTCAAAAATCCAGTTTGGGATGGGTTTTGCATCCTCTGCATAAATAAAACAGTTCCCATGATGGAAAACATAAATGACAGTACCTTGAAAGAATATGTGTGAAAATATTGTCCTCGAGGGATGGATTCTGGAGAAGGAATCGTTTGGACATCTCATATGTGGTAATGTCCCCCAAGTTAACAAGGGCAGCTCTCTGAACATTAGGAGTCCAACCCTTCCACAAGCCTCTAATCCCTCCTTCACTGAGGATCTTGGCAAATGCATGGTGAGCACTTGTGACTCTGGTCAGGTAGAAGGGGAAAAGAGGCACAATTGATGACATTAACACATACATGCAGGCAAAAATAATTGTAGACATGATTTCCAGAATAGCAGATTGTAAAGAGATTTATCAGCCCAAAATGAGCAGGGTCCCACTCCAGTACAGTATAAAATATTAAAAAATAGAAATGAGCATATACCACATACATTTGAAAACATAACAATTCCCTTTTCTCTAACATATCTCAATGCATGATCAAGTCTTCAGTTGTGCGCCCACAGAGATTTTCCCACTAAAGTCTATGAGGATAGAAAAAATTACATTCTGCCAACAATGGAGCTTTTCTTTGAGCTCATTTCCTTAAAGACTTTCAATTTGAAAAATGTAATGGGGTTTCAACATATAAGGAAATTTTTTGCAATGAGTCCCTAATGCGTGAAGACAATTGTGAGTGACAGTGATTAAGGGACAGGTGCTAATTCAAACATTGTTCTAGGGATGAAGGAAAGCTGAAACTTGATACACAAGTAGCTGATGGAGTGGTGGGTTCAGGAAAATTTATAACTTAGGGGTAAGCCTTACTTAGGGTACTTAGGGTAATTAAACACACCCCTGGGGTTGGATTTTTCTGAGGGGAGGGGGAAGGATGTTTCCCATGAAATTTTTTCACTCCATCAAATGAGGCAAATATAAAAGCTGAAACTTGGTACATAAGTAACTGGGTGTTGATCTCAGGAAATATTTTACTTTTGGGATACATCCTCTTGGGTACAATTTTGGGAAATGATGTTTTTCCTGAAATCTTTTTGCTCCAGCAAAATTTACAGGTATGATAGCTGAAATATGATAGACAAGTAGTTCTTGGGGTGCTGATTTTTATGAAAAATTCTACCTTTAGGGTACATCCCATTGGGGAACATATATTTTTTTGGGAGTATGGAGGAACTGTACAAATGAATACTTCCAGGGGCAACTTTCAGGGTAAGCTCCCAAACTCTCCATTGCCCACTCCCTTCATCCAGAAAAAAAATTAGAATATATTGCAGTTTTCTTATATAGACCCAATTGTGACTAATTTATACTGATTATAAGAATTAATACTGAATATAAATACTGATACAACATATTATAATTCATATATAATGTAAGATTAATACTGATTATAAATATGTTCCAGGCTTTATAGAAATGTGAAATCTGTTTCACATGTAGCTGGAAGCCCATTTTTTTCGGAGGACTGATACATTTTTTTAACCGAGCAAAACAGATATTACAGCTTTGTCATAAAATGGATTGCATGAAGGGAAAAAGCTCTTTTGAGAGAGGCTCAGAATCTCCTTCCTGACCCCTCAAGAAAAACTTCATATTGGTTGCACTTTCTTTGGAATGGGGTATTGCCCCCAGTTCTCACAGTGGAAGTAATGTGACATAAGAAATGAAAACTCCTTAAATCCATTGAAATTGGTATGAACATTTTAAAATTTACTCTGGGGTACTTGACCACTTAACAGGGTTTGATGAGTATACACATAATGGGATTTGAAGGTATGGGACTGTCATTCAGTGAAACATTAATTAAACATTCTTCTCTCAAATAAAAAATAATTAAACAAAGGTTCATTGCATATGTGAGTTGCTGCAGTAAAAACTTATCAGCCTTTCACTGCCATGTGGAAACTCATCTATTAAGTTTTTAAGGGAAGATAGATATTTATTTACTGCTACTATCCTCAAGTTGACAGTGACATCACATAACCATGACATGGCATAAAAAAAAAGAATCTTAAATACAAAGAGATTTACCACTTAAGAAGGTGAGAGTCCTAAAGGTGCATGTTTCAGATAAAATAATCAATTTATTCACATGATTGAGGATTGAAGGCATGAATATTGCTAGTACAACATATCAAGCATTGGGAAATTTGATTCTACAGGGTGGCCATAAAGTCTGAAAACATAGAATACACTAAAATAATTTTTTTTCTCTGTTGCAAACAACCTACAATTCTGAGGAAAATGTCTTTGACTAAAGAACATGTAAATCAAATCTGTATTGATTCAATGGGAGAACATTTTGAACATTTATTTTAGTTTATTTGTACATTATCTTAATATATCCTTAATACAGTCCTATGTTTCCAGACTTTACGGCCAACCTATATATTTTATTTCATAACTGGAGAAAGGGTACCAGTACCTAAAATCTTCTATAGAACCTAGTACAGCTCTAAAGTAACTCAGGAGCAGATATGATTGCATTCAGTCTAATGGGAGCCTAAGTATTACTCAGAGGATCCACTGACCGTGGTGGAAGCCCTAGAAGTCGCCTCCTCCCCTCTGTCTGCATTTGAACTTTCACCAGGTCTGCTGGGCTGGCTATAAACTGGCCACATGCTCCAGCTGTCATGCCTGCTATGACAGACTTCCTGCAGGAATATTGAAAGAACTAATTAAACAGGATTCAGTCTGGTAGGGCATTTAGGTGCTTCACTTCAGGCTCATGATATTGTCAGAGGCACATAGTGACAATTCCATTTAACAAAACTGACAAGCAGAGTCACATTAGGTTGTTAGTTTCTGTTAACTACATGTTGCCACCTGCACAGTTCTTGGAGCTGCTCGAGCAGTTGACCCGATGAAAATGTCACACTATGACAAAAAAATGTCTAAATTTGATTTAAGGAATAAAGCTATTCCCTTCAAGATGGTATAATAGCTTGAATTGCATTGATGGACATATGTAAAGGGTGACTGAAAAATGTGCTAAATCAATTTTTTCCTGTTGAGTGACAATAGCAATTAAACCTCTGGAGCTCCCCATTGTGTGCAGTCTCTGAACTAGTGAGAATCAGTTTTGACTGGTCTGTTGTCATTGGTATTTGCACAGTGGTCCATTTACTAAATTGGTTAGCGAGCATAGCAGATTGTGATACGTCAATGGGCATCCAGCAGCAGTGTGCTGTTGATTTTTGTGTGAGGCTGGGAAAAGCCACTACTGGGACATGAGTCATCACCATATGCCTGGTATAATAGCATGCATGTCTCAGTAGCTGTTTCTTCCAGCTGCACACAAAAATCACAACAAAGTTTTCACATTTTTGTCAACAATCTGCTATGCTAGCTGGTGCCAGACTGTCCTATAAACACTGACACTGGCCAGTCACAACTGGTTTTTCCAAGTCCAGAGACTGGTGCAATGGGTAGCATTGGGACATTGGTCCAATTGCTAGTGCAACCTTGTGGCAAAAAAATTAATAAAAAAAAAAAGAATGTGTCTGGGGCCAATAAGTGGTTCAGTTAGTTGCTAACTGAGTTTCTGTGGCAGGGGTTGGAGGTTCAGAACCATATGATGAATTTATTTCCACATGCAATCCTTTGAGCATTTTAGAAGGGAGACCCCCAAACATTGAATGAAACAGAACCTGGGTAGCATATCTCCATGGCAACCAATAGGGTCAAATTGAGTTTCCCAAGGTGAGGAGTAACTTATGCTATATAATTTTTTGGAGGGGCAAGGGTATTGGCTGGCATTCCAGAGATAGGGACTTTTAGCCCCTTTTTCCTGGCATTCCATCATATTGCATTATGGCATGCATAATTTTTCAATCGCCCCCTTATATCAATTTGAGCCAAAGGGATCAATATAAACCATTTTCATAATTTGATAAACTAGAGAGGATGAATGAGTGAATGGCATGAACTATTGCTTGCAGATAGTCATAGGAGGGGAAACGGATCTGCAAGTTTATCAGTATTGTTAAGTAGACAAAAAAATATTGAAACATAGGAAGAAAAGAAGGAAAGAAGACAGGAAGGAAGAAATAAACAAACAAATAAAGCAAGGAAGAAAGGGAAATAGAGAAAGAAGGAAAGAGTACAGTGCTGACCACAGGGGGAAGGATCCATCAGGGTTCCTTCCAAGTCCTCGCTCACGGAGGCGTTCGTAGACAGATAAACGAATCCCTGAATAGAGGACATGCCTGTAGATGGCAGGAGTGAGTCCCCGCCAAAGCTTGAGAGGGCCTTCATCTCGGATGACCCCCAATGAAGTGGTAAGGAAGCCCCGATGAGGGTGAGGCTTTCCTCCCTCCCCCTGGATCTGAAGGCGGGTTTTCACTAGATCCAGGGGGAATGTCACTGCATACAGACAATTTATAACACTACACAACCACCACATCCCACTTCAGCAAATTATTTTAACTAAAATTTTTCCATCAAGACATCATCTGAACATAACAGCCATCAGAAAAGCCTTGCTATATCCAGTCATCCTCAAGAGGAAAACTGCAGCTTTACAGTTCCTGATTGACTGTGAACATGAAGAAAAATAAAAGTAAAGCTTAAAGCTGCTACTCCTCTAGGTCTTCTAATTATGACTCAAGTACTTGCAGCAAAAACTTTCTCCTAGAGCATGTACATCTGAGAGGAGCAAAAATATGGATATACAGCAACATTTATTTTAATTGTCATTACCATGCATGCAGAGCACATATGTCTGACTAACTTAGTGTTTGTTAGTTGCTTGCTTCTGGACTTCATAAATAGTTTTTCATACATAAAACTTAAACCACATGAAACCTTTCTTAAATTTAATTCAACTCCATGCAAGGAATGCAGCGATGCAAATATTCTGTTATTTGACTGGTTTGGATTTTTCAAGTTTTGATGGAGCTAGTTTTCCAGGGCACACATATCCCATTCACTTAGTAGCATTAGTGGAATAAAGATCACAATTTTTAACCCTTTCACCCAATTTATCTTGAACACATTAGCATGACTCTCTTTGATCCCTGACTTATCTGTCTTAGTCCCAAGTGTTTTTCTCTGCTAAACTTTCTCTTTTAAACATTGCCTAGACTGCTTTGAAGAAAATCTTCAAATTAATTGCTAGTTCTTTGTCTGCTTTTCTTCTTTTGTCAACACATTTACAACTGGATATTCCATTCCAGCGAATATACAGGGTGAGTCAAAAGTCCTGCCTGCCTTTTGAACATTAATAACTTCTGAAAGCTAGATCTCATTGAAATGCAGTTTTCACCATTCGAAAGACTAGACAATTCTGCATCAAATGAAGGTTCGTTGCATTAGTTTTCTAATGGTATCCTTTGGATATGAAGTTCCTGTTCTGGGTGGGTATATCAATGCATTATCATCCAAACACATGCATGCAGCACTGTGTCTGCTTTTCTGTTTGACGGTTAGAGGGTGTCCAGATCAGGGAAGGTCTGCTACAATCCTGTCCTGTCAATATCTGTGTTGATATTGGTGATCAACTTGCAACTGACAGTTTCTCTAATGAATTTCTTGCTGAATTGTTGAGCAGAATCCATTGAATTCAGAATAATGCCTAACTTTTGCAAATTGCTTATTAATGGTCAATCGTTTATCAGCAATTTTCCTGAATTCTCCATAAATTAGAATTGTTCACAGCAGGCCACAATAACTTTGGCACTTGAGCAGACAATTACACATGGTGCCACAAGCGTGTTTTTACATGCCAATGCATTTGTATAGAATACCCAGAATAGGAATTTCATTTCTGAAAGATACCACCTGCAAAATAAAGCAAAAAACCTTCCTTGGAGACAGAATTGTCTAGTCTTTTGAACTATGAAAACTGCATTTAAATCAGATCTAGCATAGAGAAGTTATTCATGTACAAAAGGTGAGCATGACTTTTGACTCACCCTGTATATTGAAACCCTGTATATGAAACTTCAAAAGTTCAGATTTCTGGACACCAGGACTAAAGAGGGCAGGGTAATTTGGGGGATGTGGCCAAAAAAGAGAAACTTGGTTTTTGCCAGTTCCAGAGTAATTGGGACAAAAGCGGTATGTTTTTCCTCAAAAAATTTCCTTCAACTTAATTTTTCTGCATTGTATGGATACTAAATTTAGACTTAGATCCACTAAACATGCATCACCTGACATAGGATAGTTTTTTACTTCTCCTGCACCAGTCCATTTTTATTAACTTGACACTTGCTTGGTGAACCTTGCTTCAGACAAATTTGTTACATCAGTAATGCCAGAAAACTCTCCTGGCCACTACATTTTTGAACAACAAATGTCCTCTGGTATGAAGAAAGGTGATCTTTTGCCTTCTTTCTTGAAGATATGGAAGCTCCAGGTCAAACAAAATCCGACAGAATTAGAAGGGAAGCAACAGAACAAAAACTGTGGTTTAAACCTTTTTTATGTCAGTAACAAGACATGAATGGCCTTACTTTTCTTCACCCATGGAAGGAATGAGAATAATTTGACTGGAATAGGTGCAGCGTTATAATACATTCTATGAGGCACCATTGAAATAGAATTTCTGGACCAATCCACCTTTACAGTATACCATCATACTTGCTTTCATTTTGTGTCTGGTGTTATGTCAGTAACTTTGAACTTAATGGCCCATCAAGGTCAAATTTGACCATCAATATTCTGAAATATTGATTGATGACTCCTTGATTCAATTCCAGCAAAACACAAACCTAAAATTACATTGGAAATGAGTATTTGGGTCATTTTCAAAAATGTCCCAAGAGGCATTATTATCCCTATTGTTGGGGAAATATGGCAAGGCATTAAGGGGAAATATGGTCACTTCTCACCAAACAAAACCTTGTTTTTTTTTAGGCAAGTATGAAAATACTTGAACATACTGTGCAGCTGGAAAACATAACAAACAAGGCTAGGCAGTTTAAAAATACAACATTAATTGCTTTAAAAGCCAAGCAAAAAAGTTGGCATCATTATGAAAAACACACGCTTTCTGAACCATGGTCACAAGGAGCAATTGAAAAATTTCCAATTATTTTTCTCCAGGTTAACCAAAGTTCAACTGGAGCAACTATGGTTGATTTACAAAACTCCTGCTAAGAATGTTATCAACTAAGGCTGATTTGAAATGTCATGCACATATAGTCCCACAAGCTGCTCAGAGATGGCACAAAAGGTGATGTTCTTGGCATCCAGGGTTCTTCTCAGACACTATCTGACACTCAAAATATCACTTTGCATTTTTCCATCCCCCCAGTTACCCACATATCCCACACTTAGTTTACCAGCCCCTGCCAACAGCCCACAAGTTGCAGCCAAGTGCTCAAAAAATGTGAGAGAGAGAGATATTTCAAGTGCCACAGATGTTGATATTGATTTTGTGCCAGAATTAGATACAGATTCCTTGCCTGATCAGGGTGAGGATGTTGAAGGTGGTGCAGGTACATCCCACCCAGAGAAAAAGACAAAATGTCTACAATGTGCTCCAATGTGTGCATGTAGCACAAGAAAAGTAAAACCTGACTTTTGCGCATTCTGTGTGGAATGTCATTGCAGTCAAATGACTTTTACACTCAGTATCACACCCATGAAGTCTACCAAGTACTTATTAAACATTTCAGATATTTAGCTCTAATAAATTGGTTCCTTTAATTTTTCTTGATAAAATATTGCACACATTTTCACAGACCCAGAAAAACACGGGCAATCTAGTGACGATCTTATTTTAAAGGTCTGGCAGTGAATGTGTTAATCCTGGATTCCCTGGGGAGACTGTCCCAGGTTCAAGAGGGTGAAAAGCACAAGGTATTTTTACAGGATAAAGATAGGCTGTCCCACTCACCTTTCCAACCACTTGGATGACATCAGATTAGGATACTTAGATGAAAATAAGATACAAGGGCCACTTGAAAAGTTATCAACCTGACATAGCATGAGTTCACATAAAGAGGTGAATCTGTTATTACTTTTCTATATAGTCACTCCTAGGTTGAATACACTTGTCCCATTTGCCCAGAGGTGAAGATATTCCAGTGATAAAAAATTCTGAGTCTTGCTTCTCCAACCACTCACGCAGCAGACTTTACTTCTTCATCCTTGCTAAACTGGCAACCACATAAATGCTTCTTCAGTCATCAGAACAAATAATAATCACTTGGGGCCAGGTCTGGACTGTAAGATGGGTGAGAGATTTCCTCAAACGATCAAAGATTTATTTTGGTGAAATCCCTTCTTTTGTAAGGAACTTTATAACAGCTCAATACTCCAGCTTAATGTGGTCCATTTTAAAAATTTTCAATATGCTCTCAACTAAACTGCTGAAATACTACTGGCTGCTTACTCCCTCTGAGTAATATTCATGCTTCAATGTCCCTAACTGTTTACAAAGAGTTCTTATCTCTCCTCTTTCATGCTCAGGTAAATAACTTTTCAAGTGGCCCTCATACAACTTTGCTTATGAGCAAAGTTTTCAGCTTTAATTCTAGGTACTCCACTTTCAAATTCCGCTGTTTCTGAGCATTTTCAACCTTAAAACGGGGATATACCACATTTTTCACATTGGAAAAGTGAGGGGCCTTCTTCTCAGTGGTTCCACTTTCCCCTGTCTCATCCTACATAACCATCAAAATCCAACTCCAAATTCAGAATATGAATGTGTTTTCCTTCCATACAATTGGGCTTTAGGAAGGCTTAGGTGTTAGGTATATGCCCACCAATACCACATCTCACATTTTATGTCAACATGACCATCAGCTATTGAAGCTGGTAAACAAATGCAACATTTGTGCAGTGTGAAGGGCCTATGCCAGTCTGTGCTTCATGTGGTATTCCATGCGTTTTATTCATGAGACTTCAGTAAAATTTTCACAGATCAAGATAGCCCAACTCAAGATGACATGGAAAAGGTATCTATATTGTCACAGAGATATTCTATAAGTTATCCAGATGCAAAGATAGAATACATCTTGCATATCAAGCATCATGCATAGAATAGGCAACCAGAAACAACAATGAAATGCTTAGCATAACACTGGTGACATTTATGTGGTTTATGGCATTAAACTAGTAGAATCAAGGAGTTTTTGTGCATCGCAAAAAATTCAAAATGCTAGCACTACACCAGTGCAGCATTTCTGTCAAATTTAATGAGCTATCAATTGATGTGGATTCTATGTTAACACATTGATGACCAGACATACTGTATGAAAACCCAATATGTGAAACCACGGAAATCTCCGTGATCTGTCCTCAATGTGTTAAAAACAGTTGGTTACTGATGTTCACTTCATGCTCCAAGTTCTTCAAAATAATCATGAGAGCTACATATTATAAACTGTTTTCTCACATATTCCACTGCACTCTGATTGATCAAGTTTTCTTCTTTAACTAGATTTACTCTATGATTCTTATTTCTTTAGGTATGACCTGATTTCATTTTTCCAATTGCACTATCAGGAGCAGTGGAAAATTATATAATTCTTGGTGTGACCTCAACCCTCATCAGAATCATGAGAAAGAATTCTATCCATAAACCAACTCACCAATCTCTGCAAGGGAAGCTGCTGTTGCAGAGAGAATGTACTTGAACCAGAATGTATCCAAGTACTGAGATGTTGCAGGTGCTGCATGGGTCTTAGCATGCAGGGCCATGACAATGTTCTGTACCCACTTTCATCAGACTCACACCTCAAATGAACTGCACTGACTAAACATCATCCTCTCATCCCCCAAATACCTCCATCCTTGTACAAAGAGGTATTGGGAGGGAAGCTGCACCAACATCCATTCACCTATAAAGTTGACACTGGGAGGATTCATGAGAACTAAAACTTAGCCTTATATTGGCCTAAGTCTCTGATCTCACAAGACTTCTTACAGAGGAAATTGCAAGTTAGAAGACAGCCAGTAATGACTAGGTGAGAAATCATCCTGGTCTGGAATGGTAACTGCCCATTCCTTGGAGGTGAAAACCCTCCAATGGATGAAATGCAAGTAAAAGAGGAAATCTAAATTTATATATGCATAAGACAGAATGAAGAAACAAGGCTCTCATTGCTTACTTAATCAATGAATGACTTTCCACTAATAACAGCAACGAAAAACAAAATACCTCAGGAGTTCAAACCTTACTAAGGAATCCCAACAATAGGTACCTTAAGCATGTTAATTTTTGCATATTTCTTTCTTTTTATTTTTTGAAGTCCCCAATAGGGCAGTTTAGCTTGTATGTGTGGTCCTAGTTTTTCAAGAACTTGAAACTGGCATAATGTGTTGAAGTACAATGCCCCATTCTGGTGTGCTCAATTTTTATACCATATACATTTGATTTCCACAGTGCAAAGCAACATTGGCAACGACATCTGATTGTGCTGTCAGCTCAATATGGGAATCACATCGCAAATTAAGTCTAGGACTCCAAAGTATTTCTAATTTCCAGACCTGGGGTTGTGCAACCCCAATAAGAAGTCTCTCACTACTAAAAGTACAACTTTGCCCACTTGTGTTTTTTTATATAGGGCTTCCCAAAAGTAGGTGTCATTTTAAATTAGGAAAAAAACGTAATTAATTTTGAAAAAGTGCTGATATTTTTATTTTAATCCAAAGTACAAACATGGAGGTTAAGTGTGAAATATGATATCATTTAAATGTCCACCTTGACCCTTCTGGCAAATGATCATCCTTTCGACAAAGTTTTTCATGACTTTTTGGCACATTTCTGGCTCAATATCACGAATAACAGCTCGAATGTTGTCTTTCAATTCCTGAGTCGTCTTGGGACCATTAGCATAGATTCTCCCCTTCACGTATCCCCACAGGAAAAAGTCCAACGGCGTCAAATCACACGATCTAGGCAGCCAATTGATGTCCCCATTTCATGAAATGATGCGACAAGGAAATTTCTCACGCAATAGCCCAATTGTTTCGCCAGATGTGTGGCATGTAGCGCCGTCTTCTTGGAAATAAAAAATAATTTTTACAAATTCTATGCGTTGTGCGACTGTGTATTGTTCCATTTGCACAAACCTCTTAATTTTTAGCTGTCACCTGTCAAATACTGACGTTCAAACTTTGACAGTTCAGAAATGCTGCAAAATTTAAAATGACACCTACTTTTGGGAAACCCTTTATATATTTTTCATTTTTCTGTTCAGCTTTTCAGGATCAGTGCTTTTCAAAAGATTCCTGTAGCACTCTGTGACTATAACTAAAGGGTCTGTCTCTAATTAGTCTCAGAAATCAAAGACAACAAGACTTTGCCAAACTTAGGATCACATTCTTTTTGTGTTCTTAAAGTTGATATAGTGTCAAGTAGAGTTCTACATCATTATAACAAAACACAAAATTAGAAGCCTACTGGAGGAAAATTGCCAACTTGAGAAAATTAAAATGACACCATGGGAAACAAATAATTTAAATGGAGCACAACTGATTTATCAGCTATTAACCTGATCATCAGAGATACAGGGTGGGTGAGTGGCTCAGTTGGTAATAAGCTGGGCTCCCATGGTTCAAACCAATCAAGTCCAGTGTTTATTTCTCCTCAGGGGTCTCCCCTCCCAGCTTGGAAGCACTCCCATCTCAGGATGTGGGATGTCAAGGATCCCCAGCAATGACCCTTGGGCCAAATTGAGTCCTTAAGGTTACTTGTGTTAGCTGACATTAACCTTTATCATACAGATTTAAATCTCCTGCATGAGCACTGGCAGCCAGATTTTTCACACCCTTTGAATCCCAGCATTCACAAACCAAGGTAGAAAGCTTTTTCTCCACCTTTTCTGGATCAAATCCCCATCTGCCTTGCTAACTCTGTTACTAATTCATTTTGCTAGAGTATTGTATATATATGGTGAAATAAGGTATCATTCGAGTGTCTTTCCGAGCAGCTCCAGGCTTCTACGCAGCTAGTAAGCACTTGCTAGATGAGTAGTGCAACTATTCTAAAAATAAACTTTGACAGTGATGCTATAATTGATGTCACGAGCTTGAACCTAATAAAAGATTACTTTCTCTGGGCAACATCATAAGCAAAGGAATAGACAGCTGTTTTTGGACAGCAAAAAGACAAAGTGAACTAAAATGAACATTTTTCCAAAGAACTTGCAGAACAGCATTTGTACCTTTTGGCCATGGAAAAATACATCCTGCAGTACAGTAGTTGTACCTTTCATCCAACAGAGGCTAAAGGGGATGGGAGAGTTTTGATGGGAGGGTGAGTAAGCTGGTGTTCAAGAGTCAGGGTGCAATCATGGACCTAGGGTCTCTAGCACCCAATACCTTAACTTACCTTACCATGCCATATCTTATTTTATGATTGCCCAAGTTTACCCACAGTGGGTATGGATGATATTCATACATTTTCATTCCTCTCTAAGAAAATGTATGGATTGGATGGGATGAGGATGGGGGAGGATGGGATTTGATTACATCAAAGAGCTCTTATATGTTTCAAGCCAAAGTTTCAAGTCCAAGCTGCCAGATCCTGGATACATGCAGGTACACAAGTCACTGATTTGCTATTGGCACCTCACTCCCCAAAATGGAGTTGAACTGAAAAGGTAGCAATCACACTATTCCCATTCACTTCCTTTTACTATGCTTTAATATATAGGGCAGCCCATAAGTCCCAATTGGTTATGATAACACATACGTATGATGAAGCTCACACTGACGTAATCGATTACCAAGGAAAGAATATTTGTCAAGATTGTTGTATTTTGTACTTTGAATAATCAATAAATATTTCTAAATTTATTACAAAATTTATACTTATTTTGATTTTTTTGTGGTTATGCTTCAATTACAACCGATTGGGACTTATGGACCACCCTGTATATTATTCTAGGCTTCCTTCAAAATCAAATCCAAACCACCTTCATTCAGAACCATAGTTTTGGTGATTAGTATCAGTGTTGTTATGAATTTCTCTTCATTGATCATAGCAGAGGAGAGACCTTACTGAAAAAAGGAACAGATTCTTTAATTTCAAAACAGTCTCAAATTTAGATGAATGCCCAAACTTTGCCATGATGCGTTCCATCAACATTTATAGTAGGACTGTACTGGGGTACCATCAACAACCATGCTCAATGGAAATAGGAAAATGACAGGGCTGTCATGATGTAAGGATGAATTACTGATAGTTAAAGGCATTGTGTGTTTTTGTTACCAATTGTGAGTCACACTACCCACTCTGATCATAGATGAGATAGTGGAAGATAGAATGAGGTCCATGTCCCAATCAAAACCAGAAGCAAGAAACAAGGGGAGAGGACTGAATCCTCCCTCTCCCCCTTCCCTCTGTGATGCATCAATGCACCATCAAGACAATGCATCAATGTTTTTAAAACAGCCATTGTGACAGAAAAATAAGTAGAACATGACTTCCTAACAGGTCAATTTCAATAAGTTTTTGATATCATGGTCCATCACTCTTCATCCATATGTTGCAATAGACCCATCACCCAAGCCCTGATTTAGTCATGATTAAAACTTATAATAAAATTCACATGTGCACCTAGAGCAAACCTTCTCTGCATTCAAGATACTCCATGAAAGAAGTGAATTTCATGTCATCCATGGATGCTATGATGAGTATTGCAAACTGTTATGGTTGACTTTCCTATGGTCTAAGGAACACCTATTCCTCATTCTTGAGGAAATAATGCAAAATTTGAAAGCTATCTGTTCTGATCCTAATTTTTGGCACTGTTCAAATTCTCACACACAAGGGGATTACATGAGTATATAACATTGTCTTAAACTGTTTATTTTATCAATATGAAAGGGAGATTTATTCCATGCTTCACAGAAAATTAAACATTTAACAGTTGCAATCCCCAATCCCTAATTGAGCACATGGCAAGTGTCTGCCTTTGACTCAAGCATTTTTAGAGTAATGACACAAGAAGTTAAAGATTGTGCACCATCATTGGGTCATTGAATCATAAAAATTGCCTTATGGTGTTATGTAACAGCTTACCTTCCACTGTACAGGGCATTCCGTAAGTCCCTTGAACTCCCCACCCTCTTCTTTTTTGTTGTAAAATAGTGGCAGCAAATAGTGGCAAGATAAAACATATGCCATTTGAAACTACATTCATTTTGACATTTAATAACCCTCACTTGAGAAACTGGGGATCATTTAGAGATCTAGGGGATCAGTATGAGCGCCATCGTTTTCTGAACACAGAATGATGCAATGCCAGGTGCAATGAGACATTTGATGGAGGATTCTTGCCGAATCAGGCTCAAAAGTCATCAAACAAACTTGTCATGTTTTTCCCACTTGTTGGTGCTCATGCTTCCAAACACTCATCACTAAAGGCACTTCTAATGTAAAAGGGTTTTGATCACTCATATCTACACAAATCCTAACCCTAATTTACCCGGAAGAAGAAAAAATGGGGGGGATCAGGGGACTTATGGAACATCCTGTACTTCAGAATCCACTGAACACATCTTGGTCTCACCCCAAGTCCCAGGCAAACTTGCAGCTGGGACTATGTATCCTGGAATTACCTCAAGAAACAATTACTTATTCCACTTCAGCACCAGGTAATTTTGGTCTACTGCACTCTTTTTCCATCTCAGAGGAACCAGTTTCTTGCAACTCGTGAATCAATCAGTCTATTAATGATAGACCTGCATTTCTTTCACTTCAAACCAGGAAATTCTTGAAAATTTCTTGCCTGGTTCCATCCTTTTAAAACAGCTGCCAGATATTTACTTTATGTTGAAGAAAAAGTGCCATTTTCATAGACAGATGAAGAAAAACTGGCTTGAAGTTGGTGCAAATTGCATACAAGAACCATTTTTCTGCTGCCATATTCTCTACTACAATTATGAAATTTGAGTTGCTTTTGTGAAATTGCTTGTTTGGTACAATGGCTGGAGAAAAATGGACAAGAATATTACAAAGTTTAGAGGATAAACAGTGGCATAGGGAAGGGGGGGGGGGGTTAGGGGGTCAGAACCCCCCCCTTGGGCTTCCTGGTCAGTGACAGATAGGTATATTTCAGCCTTCCTTGGGAATTCCAGTTTTAGTTAGCCCCCTTCGAGGAAAGTCCAATGTCCATCCACAGACCGAAGATGCCAGACCATGATTTCTTCAAAAAAGTGAATTCCAGGTGGTGGAGCTAAGCGTAGGGTTGGGGTGTCTACCTGGCCTCAACCCCCCCCCTCTGCCAATTTTCTGCCTAGGGTAAGATCACCTAAGTTCAGACAGTATATTCTTACTTCCCAGGAAACTAGGAGGACATGGAGTCCTGTTACGCAAAATGCAATGTGCATTGATCAGATTATTGTCCTACTTTCGGTGTGTCTGAACTTAATTCAAGAAATATATGAGAAACTTAAGTTTGGACATACATTCACGTGTGTCGTATCCTCGTAAATATGATGTCCTCTTGAGATGAATAACGTTTAAAGTTGACAAAAGTTCAGTTGCAGTGTGTTTTTCAGAGAAAATGTACTTTGGGGCTCTGTCCAAACTTTCATAATGGGACATGTAACTTCGGACACACTCAAGCACATGCGCAAATAGTACAGCATCATATATTTCTTTGCACATCTAAGTGTGTGATGTGCCTCCAAAGCAGTGCAATCATGGTAAGAGGTTGGAATGCAAGGGATTATTGATCCGAGGCTGTTGAAAAAGCCATCAGGGCAAAATCATCAGGGCTTTAATTCAGGTGAGATGTCCTTCCGGAAGGCAAACATTGCTAACGATGAACACATCTGCAAGATAAATTTTCTTCTAGGAGCCTCCAAATTTGGAGCGAAAATATGTCCCTAAAGTTGAATGTTTTCTGATTTAAGCATGCAGAGAACTACTTGTCTACTGAATGTAACGAACTGTGCTGCTCGGTCTGCTTTAAAAAAAAAATAAATTCCCAAAACATGACCTTAATGAAGAGTGTGCACTCAAGAGATTTACCACAATAGTAGGATTTTTCCAGAAATGAGCGACTGGAGGGCAACATACATGCCAAATTCCAGGTTTCTATGTCTGCCACCACCCGATTCAATGAAGCAAAACATATTTTAAAATATGGCACCCTCAGAATACGTATCCCAAAAGTTGGATTTTCTCTTGTTTCTACATACCAGCAGGTACCTATTAAGTAAAATTTCAGCCTTCTGTCTCCATGATTCCCTGGAATGAAATAATTTTTTTTGAAAAAGGTCAACCCGAAAAATATGTCCCTAGGTACGAATCCTAAAATTAATTTATTCCTCCCTGAAATCTGCATCTCAATAGGTACCAATGCATCAAATTTCAGCTTCTATGTCTCTTATAAATAGTACCTGAAATCCACACCATCAGTGTCATTCGCATATGAAGTTCAAACTTTCAATCTCATCTAGATTATGGTTAGAATTACAGTCAGTCACTCACTCACTCAATCACGATCGTCTTATTCTATTAATAAAAAAGAAAAGATCCAATACTTTGGGTTAGTATTCTTTTACACCAAAATGAAGTGTTTCAAGCCTTCAAAGACTTCAAAAAGGGGGTGTCAGAACTAAGGTGAAAGTGTCAGAACTTAATTTTTTCCACGTCTAAGTTCGGACACCCACATTGTAGGCAATATCAGTTGTCATGAGACTAGGAAGGACAACATCTTTATTGCACTCATACCTCATTGTGTCCTGCTCCCGGGAGCAAAAAATGAAGCTTCCAGCTTGCATCATTGAGATAGGACAAGCGAATGATGAGACCAGGGAGGCTTAACTGCCCGCACATTGGTGGTTTTACCCTATGCCACTAAGGATAGATATGAGTAAATGCAACAAAAAAAATCTGTTGTGTCATCTGTTGGCAACACAAATGAACACCAAGGAATCTAAATGAGCAGAGCACTATATATGCTTTACCTGGTGTTTTGTTGCCTCTGATATCTGTAGAATGTCTCAGTCATTTCTTACCCCTAACTCATGGCCAGGATGAAAGCAGGATATGTCAAAATTAGAAGCATTAGGGAAAGCTACCAAACTCATGACATAGGTAGCTTTGATTGCTGCTCATTTTTAAGAGACTTCCTGGCCCAAAGTAGCCTGACATGGAAGTTGAACAGTTACAGGGGTAACCCAGTTTGCTAGCAGTAACCCCCCCCCCCCCCCAATCAAATTTAGGCAGTGCACCTTGACCACAAGGAACTCTCTTCCTGTTATAACAATAACTAGATCCACCAATGGCCTTATCTATTAGTTCCTCAAAAATGTTATGTATAAATATGATGCAAAACATGGCATTATGGCATTGCACATAGACATTAGAAAAGGGTGAAACCCATTTACAATTTGCCACTACATGGTTTCAGTGTTCATGCAAACACACCCCAGTTCTAGGTGCTGTTTTGTCACAGGTTGCATTTTTGTGATATACTCCTATTTTCCTCTCACCTTTCACCACTTACTTGCAAGGTAGGACATTTTTATTTTTAGTACTTAAATTTTCCTTATTTTAGGTATGTTCTGTAGGTGCAGACTAAAACACCTAGCAATGAAATATCTAATTGTAAACATTTGAAAAATGTTACTTGTAAAAACCTATAAATGTTGTAACCATGCTGACTTCCTCATTTTTCTGAAGAGCATTGAAGGAAACAACATTACATATTAATATCAAGATGATTAATATCACTGCAACTTTCTATACACCTTACAGGAAAATGAGGTAGAGCAGTGAAGTTAATAGCATTCAAGTTCAGAAGTGCTTCAAAGGTCAAGGGAGTGAAGTGAAGGGAGTGAAGAGTATTTTTCTCTTACTGTGACTTGATTATCATTTAATTTATATTGCTATATTGCACTAAACTGCATGAGTACCCTCAAAAAAGCCATATGACAGACTAATATTCTAATTTTAACCCAGATTTCAACCTATTCATACATGTATTATATAGAAGAATACAATATGAAAGAAAAAGTTCAATTTTCCTATCCAATCTGAGTGCCACTAGAATATTGCATGATACTAAAGTATGATAATGATTAGACATACAGCATTGGATGAAGGATATTACTGTAGTATGAGAGATATTCTTTTAGGAAGCAAATAAAAATAGCATTATTCCCCACTCACTCAATTCAGTTGACCTATCACTTGAGAAATTTTTTTATTTTCAAAATTGCAAATCAGCTCTCTACTGCAATGACATCCTCCTCCTTCACTGTTTCTTCACCAGCAACAAACCTTAGAAATGAAAAGTTCACAACAAAATCTCACAATTGGAACAAATAAGAAATATCTGCATGCACTGGATCTACTCTATGAATTTTCAAGAATATACTGTGCCACACATTATTCTCACATCGAACTGCACAGATTTAAAATTGGGATAGAAAAATTAGGAAGTATAGGTCTACTTAAACTCCTTCACCAGCATGTCTGATAAATTCTTGGGTCTCTCTTATAGTGAATCAGAAAACCTGCTGGTGAAAGAGTTAAAGGAACCAGATCTCAAGGGTAAATCAGAAATGGCTCTCACTTTTGGTCTTTAGATGTGGGCTTGATAGAGAAGAGAAAGAAGTCAAGGAATGTTGCACTCCTTTTGAGCTGAGTGAATCTCTGAAGATGTCTCCTTGTGTATGGAAGCAAGCCCTCCAAGTTGCTTCTTGATGAAGGTAACTCTAACAGCTCCTCTGGGGTTTGGCTTTGGAGTAGGATGTTCAGCACCACCTACCACATGAACAAAGGCTCAAATCCAGGCTGCACATACTGACTATGAGGCTTATAACACCAGATTGTCTTACATTAGGCCTATTTTGTTTCCTTAAAAGGAGGAAAACTTAATTTGCAATAAAGTCTCCCAGACATAATTAAGTGCCATGGGAGAGTGAAATTACTTAATTATGACAGGAGTTCATTTCTCCAGACACACTTGTGCAATACTGTGGTGGAATGAACATCTGTCATGGAGAGGAATAGCAGAGAGCTGTATTCATCTCAGATGGCTAAACAGCATACTTTCACTTAGAGGAAACACAGAAGAATAACTATATCAGGCCTTCCTCATCATGATACACTAAGGGAACTGTTCTTGAAGTTATTATATTAATTCGGTTGATTAAGCTAATCTGGCAGACCTGAGCGGCATGGCATGTTCGAGATCGAGTATTCCAGGACACAACATATCGAAGCAATGCATCAATCTCATCTGCCTTTAGTCGCTTCACCACATCTTCCATGTCCTTAAAAGAAGAATCCTCTCCCACAGCCAACAACTCTGCAAGTAGACAATCGCATGTAGAAGGCAGATATGATACTGACAGTCTTTTGAAAAATGTCATGGATTCACAAGTGAACCTTGAATGACAGTGAGTGCTCGATATGGCTGTTCCAACTTGATGGCCAGTGTCAATGCTTCTAAATATTTCTCATCCTGAATGAGATTGGAGAGGGTTTGTTGAGCCTGCACTCGACAGATCTCCTCAGCTTGCTTTGCTTCTAATTCCTCCTCTGTTGTATCTTTCCATAATTTCCACTTGGAGTCAGCCCCTCCAGTTGTCAAATGTGTTTCCTTCCTGTTCACTACCAGGAAAGATGAACTTATTAGACAGTCAAAACCCTTACTAATGAGATGGAGCAAGAATTGTGTGTGATGATTTTTCAAAAACCAAGGAAACAAAATGTAAAGACTCAATATTTTAAAGGGTTGAATAGGCACAAATGTGGGCAATCAAAAGCAGTCAGTGCTATCCCTGAGAAGCATTTCATATTCAGACCATTTCCACTGCTTACAGTCTTTACATATCAAATGATCCTAACTTTAGAAAGTCCACTGCACCCATAACAGGCTACAGCTGTTGACCTGTAAAAAATTTGTTTTTGAGAACAAAGAGAAATTATGAAATCCACCTTAGCAGTATGTTAAATAGGCTCTGAGATATGTCTGCTTGAATTTTGGGGAAGAGGGGTAAAATGACCCCATAAAACAAAAATCCCACCTTCCAAACCAATAGTTAGAAAGTTAGTTGATAGCTCATGCTAAAGCTTGAAAGTTAGAAGCAGAGTCCTTTGGACAGGAAGTAATTTTAAGTAATTTTAATCAGTATTCAAGACACTTAACAAGCAAGCCCTGAGGGCAAAATCAAGTCCAATGGTGGTTCAATAACTTTTACTCTAAGATCAGTAGCCAGAAGAACAAGAAAAATAACATGAACAAGAAGACTAAAACTGATGAAAAGTTATTGGAGTAGCTGATCTTGAGTGAGTATATCAATGTTGGCAAGAGTATGAACATGAGTCCTTGGGATAGAAGTTACTACTGAGAATATGCTCATTTTATGCTAGAATTCTAAGGCCCGAATGCTGTTAATGGTCCTTTAAGAGTACATAGATTCCTATGGGAGAAAAAGGAGCTCTTTAGCTAAAAAAAAAACCTTTATCCCTCTTAAAAGAGGTTTGTGCATTCGGGCCTTAATATAAAGTACTCACTATACTAGTGCCTCATTGCTGTGCAAGAAAAGAGTTCATAAACTGTTAGTGAAAATTCTTACCCTCCAAAATTTTGCCATTGTCATATTCAATTGTGACTTTAGAAGAGACTTTTCAGCTTATTTAGGGAACAGAATCACCTGCAAGAGCCCAGACTTTATCTTCATGCTCATCATATGTTGCTGTACAAGCACTTGTCTTGACGTTCCAGATCTTTAGAAGACCATCTGATCCACAGGAGACTATCTGCATCCCTCTTGAGAGGAAATGTAGTTTCAGTACTGAGCTGCTATGACCTTCAAAAGTCTGAAACACAGAAATCAATTCTAGAATAAGTTGCAATGACATTGATTTCAAAATGATAAAATTCAATGACAAGGAAAATGAAAATTTTGGATTAGAACTTGCTTTCAACTTGTTTTCCTCGTGTTGAGTCATGAACATTTATCTGTATTTAAGTACCACTGAACAAAAAGTAGAAAGGGAAGAATGAGAAAGCGTAAGACCACAGAGGCAGTTCAAGAGACCAAAAGACACAAACATGGGAGCCCAATATGTAAATGGGGAAAGGGATATCTCTGCATTGTGAATCGCTAACTCATACAATAGTCAGCTACAGCCCAAGTCATTCTACTGATACATGCTTGGACAAAATTTTCTTTTTAAATTTCTTCCAAAGCAAATTGAAGACATCCACAATTTCTAATTTAAAAATTTGCTTGTTTTAAACTCTCCAGACCTTGAGGCATGAGAAGTCATTCAAGGCCCAGAGTCTGATGGTGCTATCAGTGGATCCTGAAGCAAGGACCTGATCCACAGGAGAAAACTGAACACACCAAATCCCTCTGCTGTGTCCTCTCAATGTTCCCATTAATTCACCTGTTGCAGCATTCCACACCTAAAAAACATGTGAAAGATCAATCAAATCCTCATAGACAGATGCCACAGACATTTATACACTGTGTGCATATGGTGCACCAGGGAAACTTGATATGCTCATTATGACCATATCATGACTCAAAGACAATGCATTCAAGGGTGTCTGTTATATAGCAACCTCAAATGTTACCACCTGAATTAAATAACTAGAGCTGATCATCACACACATTCTTAACCCTAATCCGAGCAAGGTGAGTCCGCTGGACTCACTACGACATATTTTGGTCTATTACTGTCATTATTTTTTTAAACTATCAGGACCATTGAATAAATTGTCTGTATTATTTTAGTTATAGTACTGTTATTTATGAGAATACATACCGTAACCGCAGCAAATGGCCTTATTTTACATGAATCTGACAGACTCACCTTGCCTGGAATAGGTTGTAAAAAAGCTTGCCCAGATGAGGGTTAACCCAGGATATTGTTTGACTGGCAACTGATAGACTTGAGAAATGCAATCCAAACACTAGTATACCACATAACATACCAAGCAAAACAATAACTCTAAGCTCACCATACAATATGCAGACGGTGTAACAAGACATATTTGTGATAAGCCATTTGAAACTCACCTTGGCAGAATGATCTTGAGAACCAGTGGCAAGGAGGCGATCATTAGGGGACACACAACAGCTGTTCACCACCTTGTCATGAGCAACTAGGGTGTATCTTACTTTCACAGTGGCTTCTTCTGCTAATGAATAAGCAAATAAGACTTGAAGCAAGTGGGCCCACTGCAATAACTGTACATATTCACTACTTCCATCTTGCTCATAAGAAGGTACATCAGAAATGAACAAAAATGAGTTTGTTGAGGGAGAGATGTGAATTTAATTTCAATGTTCTAAAAGATGTCATTTCTTTGCTGACTAGCCTTCAACCACCATATGTAAACCAAGAACTAGCATTGAGTTGGGGAAGTAAACAGTGACCCTGGGAACAAATGAGATTTAAAAAAAATGGCTTGTTACAGAACATGAATATTTGAGCAGACGAGTATTGCTTCAAAACAAATATATGAGGTGCATTCCAAAAGTCCGTACTGTTTAAGTGTGGATAACATACATGTGGACGGACAGCATTACCTCATGTTATACTTTTCAACATAGTCTCCCTCCTTCTCAAGACACAGTTGCTACTGTTATCCAGTAGTTGTTGCATTGAATGAAGGAATCTTCATTGGCACATTTAAACTACTGGTAAATCTCACTTCCAAGTGCAGCTTTTGAGGTGAAAGGGTTGTCCCGAAGTGAATCTTCAACCAGCTGAACAGCAAGAAGTTGCTTAGAACCAAATCAAGTGAATACAGTGGGTGAGGCAAGTTTTCAATCCCCACTTCCATCAAAAACTTCATCATGATATGTGAGGTGGTGCATTGCCCTGGTTGCTCTCTGCCCATGAGTTATGGGTGGAGTTTGGTCACAGCAGGAAGCAGTTTTTCTTTAACCCTTTCAGACTTGAATTAAGGCCGCTATCGGAATAATATCCTTTTATGCAATTTTGAGCTCTTTTGTGATTGTAATTGACATTTTCATGCTTTATATGTGGATTTCATATTTTGTATAGATTTACCATATCATACCGTATATTATATATTATACATTTAATTAAATAACTGAAGATTACAAAACTAATGGGTGAAAGAAGGCATCTGATGGAACTGAGCCATGCATAATTACACTGATTGTAGCATAATATGGAGTGCAAAGTCACAAGAATCCTAAGAAATTGCCATAGACACAATGTAAATGCAATGTCCATTGGAACAGATGCCAGGTCTGAAAGGGTTAAACAGGTTCTGGTAATATTGACCATTAATTTTCCATCCTATTGGGACCGGGTGTGCCAGAACAGCTGTTGGTGAATTTCCATTGCTTTTTCTTCACATGCAGATAGAAGTTCCAAGACAGCAGCTCTATGCTCATCATCAGTGAAGTTCGTTTGTTGTTCCACTGTCAAAAATAAAGCTAACAATAATGTATGCAACACCCACAGAACATTTTCCCCCCTTAATACAAAAAATTTATAAACCTTTAATATTAAGAGAAATTATATTATTAAATTTATTTTTCTTATCTTTAGATTTGGTCTTTAGTCCAATTACATGTCCTCAACAGCAATGAGTATATGGTCAAAATTTTCTCACTGGCACATTTTCATTATCACTATCGCTACTTGTATCATACAAACTATACACAAACTCACCCTCTTCATCAGATTCGTCATTCATAAAGATATCAGAAATATCTTTATCGGAAAGATTCCAACCGCAAGAAGTGCTTGGCTGTGCCATTTTCTCAATACTATTTTTGGCAGGAGTAAACATGTGAAGGTGCCCTCTACAAAAAAATTTTATATTACATTCGGAGTGAAGCAAAGTCTGTGCAAGCAGTTCAGAATAAGTCTATATAGATGGCAGCACATGCTGGAACACTCCAATGCCTCTAAGGGACACAGGGAAATAAAAGAAAAATCGAAAATTTCAAAACGGGTATACCTGGGCATAGCAGTGAAAGGGTTAAAGATGACAAGCAAGGAATCGAGTCCAATATTGGTGCCCACAGTATAAAACTGCTGCAATATCAAGTTTGGCTGAAAAAAGCCTCTGGTACGAACTTTTGGAATGTACCTTGTATGCAGGAAGAAAGAAGACACATACGAGAAGGGTGAGGAAGGTCCCAGAGTTTGAGGCAGTGATCATCACTGGAAGAGACAATGAAAGAAGGACTGTGCAGAGAGAAAGCAAGAGCAGTCACAGCTCCTGTATGACCAACACCCTGAAATGATTTCTCCCAGACCTTCCCCCCAGCCTCTGTCTTCTTCTCCACCCAAATGATGAATGTTCCATCCTATAGCAGATCAAACACAAAGAATGCACAAGAACCTAAGTCTACAGCTTTTTTATGCTTTCATTTCATGGATAGAAATAGTTCTGTAACCTTCAAGTAAAGTAAAATCCTACTCAGTCTTCAGTGAAGATTCAGAGGATACCTCAAGTGAATGTGATCGCAAAGTGCACCCACTTCATATCTTATCACATATTTCTTAAAGAAGTCACAGACATAAAAAATACATAAACAGGGAAAATTGGACTGCTATTGGATAAACTTCCAATTCCTTATCATTAAAGGTAATAGATTTCACTGCCTGTAACTCTGGGAAGAGTTACATTTAAAAAAAAAACATTGTATGGCTACAACTAAGATGCAAAGTGTATCCTTTTGTGGTTGTCTTTCAATGCCTTATGTAACAATTGGTGCTTTATAATATTATTCCTGATCCTACCAGTTTATTTTGCATGCCAGAAATATAGGGAAGCTGTCCAACCATTCCTACCATCTTCAGTCATTAGATACAGGCATACATTAGATATATACATTACATTATACATTAGATATAGTTAATCCCATGAGGAGTATTCATTTTTACAACTTCAAAAATGTCCTGTCTAATTAGATTTTGCCTTCATATTTGAATTCAGGATTCAGGGATATGAGGATGCTTCTAATAGGTCTGTAATGTAGCATATAAATAATTTTTAGGAAACCTTCTCTTGTATTTCCCTATTAAAGCACATCCTTACAATGTTAGATTACAGAAATTGTTCCATCAAAGGAAGAATCCTGATGCAGATTCCAGGTCCACTTACTTTGCTACCTGAGGCTAGCATATGCTTCTTGGAAGGGGGTCTTGCAAGACACAATACAATATCCTTATGACCGTGCAAGACACGACATGTCATGCTTTCGAGCGAGTAGATCTTCACATCAGGGGAGTTGGATGCAACTGCCAGCCATTCATCACCTCTCCCAACAAAAGCTACATCCAGAATTTCATCGGCATAGCCAATGTACTGAATGAAAGACAAATACACTGATTCAGAAACGAGTTTGAAAAGAACAAGCAAAACCTCTTATGCATCACAGAAATGAAAAAATCTTAGTAGTCCAAGGGTTTAGTTGCCCTTCCATCTTTTAAGTCCAAAAATGGCTCTCTAATAAAAATACATTTTAAGTTCATAACGTTTGCAGGCAAGTTCTCCTACTTTCACATGTGAAGCCATCGATACAAAATGATAATTCAACATTTTTGGATTGCAATGAGGCTCCTCAATTCAGACAATGGCACAAACTGCATTGGCAATGCAATTCTATACAGCAATCCTAGCTTTTTTGTATCTGAGACCAGTGTCCTAAAACAGTGTCCACTGATAAGCATTCTTTCAAGAGCAACAGTGATTGAAGAGAAAAAGGAAGAAAATGGGAAAATGTGCTAGACCTGTCGGAGGAGGGTAAAATCTTTGAGTCGAAGGAGGAAGAGATCACAATCATCAGTGGACAGAGCCAGGGCCTCTCTTTCATGAATGATATGGATTTGTAGTATCCTTCCCAGGTTCTCACCAGACCTGCCCCTTCTCACAGGTATTGTAGGGGAAGCATCATGTTGGATTTCTTGTCCTGAATCCAAATGCCACATTCGTACTTGTCCTACATGAAATAACAAAAATAAACCACATAGCCCATACTGGAACAAAAGGCAGACCAACAAGAATAGAGACTGTCTAAATTTAGTCTTTCCTAACTAATCCCAGGATCTTTTGATTCAACTGTGACTATTGAAAAAAAACACAATTTACAAAATGCAAAATACTTCTGGGCCTAAACATGCATGCATTCACCTCTGCTGCCCACAGTGATCAAATGCATCCCATGAAACAGTGTCTCTGAATTGACACCAAATGTCACTCTGTCTGATGATGGATCAAGGATAAGCAATCCTTCTAGGCTTTCAAAAGCAGAAGTAGTCCTCAATGCTGTACCACTTCCTTCCAAATTCCAATGGATCCAAACTTTGTCACGGCCACAACTACAAATAAAACAGATCTGCATCATCTCTCAATTCTACAAGATCAAGTCTCAAATTAGTAGGCAAAAGGAGAGAAAGTCTGCACCTGACAGCCTCACATTTCCCAGGAATAAAATGGAGATCAGTGACAGTGCTCAAGTGCCCTTGAAGGACAAGGACAAGCTGTGATGTCTTCAGATCCCAGGCTCTAATGGCTGAGTCAGTTGCAGACCCAAAGACCAGAAACTGAGATCCTACTGAGTGGAACTTCACAATACTGAAACACACACGCATATGGATACCATAGCCTCGGAACAAATGAAGATTAGTGAAAGGACTGGTCCAAGAAAAGATCTGAAGTTTAGTGCTATGTTTAGTGCTAATTCAATCAAGGATTGAAAGGAGAACTTTCATAAGAGTGCAGATGAAGGGCTAAATGATGAAAATAAATATATACCTTTAAAAGGTATATATTTATTTAAAAAGAAAAGATTTAAAAAGAAAAATGAATGATAAGATTTATGCCTTCATGGGAATATATCCCAACTTTGAATTAGAAACAATCAAGCTTCAACATTAAAGAATTACTTGCCTCCAAATATAAAATGACAGACCATTACTCACTATAGCATTATTAACTTTTAATCTCTTATTTCATAAGAATTGGAGGTAAAAATTTTTCCCATTAAATATATTCCTTGAAAGAAAGAGAAAAAGTAACATAAATGGAAAAAGAATCAAAATTTCAGTTCGCATCAATGACTGACAAATTGATGCCAAATGCAAAGCACCAGATTCCTTTGGATTTATAGAGTTTGAAGTAGGAGTTTGAAGACACAATGAATGTCTCTGATTTTTTTGCACATATAGGTACAGAAAATATAACTGTGATAGTTCTGAGATAGGGAACAGCTTCTTGAGTCATTTTCCAGAGCTACCTAAGATATCTCCAAAGAAAACAAAAATGACTAGGCTACAAGAAATACTACTGTGAGGAAGACACAATGCATCTTACAGATCTTACAGAAGTAACAGCATTGCACTTAAGCAAGCTAGGCAAAGGATTTCAAGTAGAACAGGAAGAGCAGAAACAAATGCTGTATTTTGAAATTTGTTCATCATGGATCCAACAAGTATGGAGTAATTTCTTACAAATTCAACCAGGCACAGCACCAGAGTACCTTGGATTTTCAAATGAAATTCTCAGTGATTGCAGTCAATCTGAAAACTTGGAGAAAAAAAAAAGTTGATCAGATCTGGTATTAGTGCTAATGGTGGTCCACTGAAACATTAACCCTTTCCAAGGGTTCCTAACCCAAGGACTTCAATGCTCATCCAACATCTCCTTGTCTAGCATGGCAGTGGAGGTTCATCGCACTGAACATGCCATATGGCATGAATGGCAGTGAAAGGGTTAATGAAAATGGAAAACCACCATGGAGGGCAAAATGACCAGCTCATGAATCTTTCATCATATGTGATAGCTTGAACTGAAGCTTGTAACAGGAGTACATACCATTGCACACATCATCACTGTTTCAATGAAATTTCAGCATTTCAGGTGAATATGACAATGTGAAACTTATTATGAAGCTTATGTAGCATCCTCTCCACATCCCCATGTGGTTGGGAAAAGACAAATCTCTCATTACATTAAGTTGCATTCCTCTTGCATCAAAAAGTCAAGTTGTTTGTTGATAATTTATAACCTACATAAAGAAAAATTCTCCTCAAAATTGAAATCTCAAATTTTCTTGCAATTTTGGTTAAGAATTTTTCTGTGACAAGTGACATACAATATCCATTTTAGATTGAATACAATCACTGAGAATTTAAAAAACTGAATCCAAAATGGTCCGCACTGCCTGGAGAGCACAGATAGAATGACCTTGGAAATATTATTGTGGAAAGAAGTCCAGCCATATTATAACTTTTGAATTTTCCAGGACACCAAAATGGGTGGTGACAGGGTTAATGAAAATATATATTGATTCAAAGGTCAACAGATGGTGTCATTGCCAGCAAAGCTGAATGTGACACCAGAGGCATATGAGACAGCAAGTCTTCAAGTGCAGGGGGCTCTAGGTCCACAATGTTGCCCTAGTATAGAAACCCAAACTGTACTTTCACTATAACAACTCATGTGAACTTAAATGGTTTATGCCAGAAATATCAAGTCACAGGGCGTTCCGTAAGTCCCGGGTCACTTACCCAATTATTGACCCAGCAGGTCAGTGAGTGCTCCACCATTGTCTCAGCACAATATAATCCTTCTCCAAGTTCTAAGAATTAATTATTAACACTTTCGCTGCCATGTGACCAGCCAGCAGGTCGTAAGGGCTCTCCTCCTAGGCCATACGAGCCGCTGGTGGGTTGTACAGGTCCTTTCTAGTGGATCATATGACCCGCCGGCGGGTGGTTTGCATTGCTTTGCGTGGTGTAATCTATTGACCTCTACCATTCATCTTATGAATTTTATCATCACCTCCTGATGAGGTCAATTTTAAATCAAATTGGTGGTGTTTCTTGACTCATATTTCATTACAATGTATTCAATATAAGCATGTGTATAAGGGTGAAATGGAAATTACTTCTTCCTCGTTTCTGCATATAAGGCATATTATGGGAGTCTTCATGTGTAGTATGTACGTGGACATATCAAAAAGCTCCAGAACTGGTTTTCATATGAGCAAACTATATGCAGCCACTCTGTTTCAAAATGATCCCTTTCAAAATACATGGATGACAAGAAAAGAAAGCAACTTGAAAATTTTCTATGGAATCCATACCTCGTACTTGATTAGCCTGAAAATTTAATGAATCGTTGCCTACTATGTTTTCCTAGAGCTCTTGAAATTATATGAATTTATGGGTACCCATTCATGAGTTATGGCATATTTTGCTGAAATGGTAAAGAAAGGAGTAAGCACGCATGCAATTGCCATTGCGAGGCATGAATACAACTTGCATGAGGATCCCTGAAAATGCATACAGATACATGAACCTTTTATGGTTGAGTACATATTTTTGACAATGTTCTATTAATTTTTCACAAGGATCCATCCAGTGGAACTGATTCATTAGGCAAAAATCAAATGCGGATTCGTACCTCACCATTGGCAGTCACATGCCGGTCCACTCAGAAAATTTGACCAATTCTATTAAATAAGTCATAACTCAAGAGTAGATGGGCAAGGTTGCATATACTTCAACAGCTCTTGAAGAACCTTGTCAACAAGGTATACAAGGTATACAACAAGGTATTTTCACGTCAATTGGCTGAAGAATTTATTTGCAAAAAAAATGTTCAAGTTACTTAATTTTTTCCAGTCAACCTTCTAATTCAATCTGACTTGCAACAAACATTTCCTTTCATTTGTAAAGACCTTAAAACAGACTGTAACCCATTCTTGGCACTTTGTCCAATGTGTTGGTCGCAAGCTGACTGGCAAGCGCCTGTGTTGTCAAAGCAGCAGCCATACATCGAAGGCACCTCATTTTTGGAATCAGGCTGAAGTCGCAAGGTTCCATTTCCAAGGAATACGAAGAATGTGGGAGCAATGGTACTCCAAGAATGGTTAGAAATTCAAAGGTATGACATTGGTACCGTTTGATTGCCGGCAGTCAATCTCAAAGTCAAGCTCAAAGTTTCCTCATTACGGCTTGTTGATTGCTGTCCCATGCATTCATCATCTCCAGTGGATCCCCACCTTTCGCAGTATCACTTGCGTCATGCACACCAGAATTAGGATTACTTCGCCTCAGGAGAACGACCTCCAAAAAATGGCTTGGCAGCGAAAGTGTTAATCTATTATTATTTATTAACAAGAACCAAGAATTCATATCTATGATAATCATTGTAAATAATCATGACCTGGGACTTACGGAAGACCCTGTACATTATCAATCTATCATTCATGAATATCTTGAGCCATAGAAAAATTGCCCAATGTTCTAGTTGAAATTTTGACAAAACACTTATTTCTGCTATCCTCAGCTGTCACACCTGTAATGGAGTTGATTATGCACTCATTCGCTAAATCTAGTGTCATTTACCAAGCTTTTCCCCCTTCCAAGAAAAATACCACTCCAATGTTGCAGAACAATTTTTTGTTGCTGTATGCACCCTGAACAAACCTGAATATACCCTGTGCTCCACGAAGGTTATGAGTGCAATATCCCTTCACAACATCCCAGACTTTTAAGCATGAATCACTCCCACCACTAGCCACCAAGGTGCTAGTTTGATCAAAGGACAGCACAGAGACTGGAACAATATGGAATGACTTCCATACTCTCCTCACATCCCCATCTAGAAGTATATAAAATGAAAAGAACAAAAAAATGGTACTGCAACAAATACTCACATTAGTCACCAAAACAGGTAGGTCACAAGGAATTCTCATGAACAATACAATCATGATGTTGGTGAAAGTGAACATACTTTTGAAATTCCACAGACGGAGGAGACCAGACTTGTGTGCAGACACTAAGGAGGTATCATCTGGGCTGAGGACAAATGTGGATACAGGATCACCTTCTTCCTTGAAACATCTCTCAACTGTGCCAGTGTCCATACACAGGACAGAGATATTGCCATGACAGAGGCAAACAACCTGCTCTCCATCCTTATTCCACTGAAGAGAGAGGCATAAAATACTTTAGTTTCACATTACAAGAGGAACCAATAGAAACCAGACCATCTTGGTCTTCATTATTTTTACTCTTAGACAGAGTGGAGGAAAATAATGAAAACATTCAATGGTAACAGTCAAAGAATGAGCCGAACCAAGTAAAGGTACCCAAATGGAAATATCACATGGGCAGTCATGCTTTGTTATACATGCCACATACAGGGCATTTCAAAGGTGACTTCTGCTGTTCAGACAACTGCATCAAGGAAACTGATGGACACAACATTGTGAAACTTGGTGTGTAAACCAATTTGACCAAGTGGAAGAAAATGCACACAAGCATGTGGTGATTTACGATGACATCAAGGTCACACTAGATGGTACCTATGGTCCACAATGGCATACATATTAATAATAGCTGTTCGATGTAATTTCCTTTTGTGATAGTCATTATCTCCAAATGTGACAACACATTCCAAACTGCTGTTCAAAGCATATCAGGGGGTATGGAGTGGACCTCACGCCAGCAGACTTCTGGCTTTAGGGTTACCTCAAGAGCTGTGTTTATTGCAATGACCACATCACGTGCCACAAGTTGAAGGAGAGCATACTACAGGAAGTCTGTTTCATACCCCCTGATATGCTTTGAGCAGCAGTTTGGAATGTGTTGTCACAATTGGAGATTTTGACTATCACAAAAGGAAAGCACATTGAACAGCTACTATAAAAAAAAGTCATTTGTGGACCATAGGTACCACCTAGTGTGACCATAATGCCATCAGAAACCACCACGAGTGTGTGCATTTTCTTCCACATGGTAAAATTGGTCTATGCATTGAATTTCATAACATGATGTCCATCGGTTTCCTAGAGGCAGTCATCTGAACAGTAGAAGTGATACTTGAAACGCCCTGTACAATAGTGGCCTAAACTTTTAATACTTTCTCCAATTTTCTTGATCCTTTTCACTTGCTTCTCATTAGCATGTCAAGCTCAGTAGCTTCAAGCATCATGCAGTCATTCATCAGGAACGGAACTCATGTCAATATTGTCATTTTGATGTTGCTTTAGGAACAGAATCCTGGCATAGCCATCATTCTTCATTCATGACACTGGCCTGTAGAAAAACTGCTAGTACAGTTGCTGCCATAGAACATGATCTAAATGGGTTAACAAGAAAAGCCTATATTCGACAAAAAATTTGACATTTGTCAGGTAATGCAAGATTAGGTAGCTCATAAACTTAAGAAAATTGTATACTTCAACCAGATATATTATCACGCATGCAAGAGCCCACCCCTCAAACCTGATGATTCTTGCATTATAGAAAATGCAAGTTGCCCAAATTTGTTTAATGTCTGAATAAGCCTCACATGCATTATGTACTGAACCATACATCAATACAAGGAAAATATATAAATATATATGGCACAGCTGGAGTGGGGAGATAGGCTGTTTCGGAGAAGTCACACTGGTAGGTTTCTCCGAAAGGTAGGCTATGGACTGACCAGCGCCAACACCTTTACCCAACACAAGTACATCCGTTACCCATCCGTCACAGGGAGCTGACAGTCAGACTGGTATTGCGTGCTTGCAAATGCTGATCGACTATGATAGTTTCGGCCGAATTGTGGAACCCGGTAGCGGTTGAACAGCGGTAGGTGGAAGGAACATTTTGAGGCGCTCTGAAACCCACCCACGGCGGACGCAGATGCTACTCGGAGAACAGCCTCAATATGGAGAAAGTTCAACAAGCTATGGCTAGCATGAAGAACGGAAAGCCGCTTGGCGTGGATGAAATCTGGGCAAAGAACCTGAAAGTAAAGGGTATAAAAGGGTGCTCGTGGTTCTTTACTTCCCTTTTACTCTCAGACAACATCCATGTGTTAAGCTGGCAGTGACCCACCGGTTGAGAACCACTCGAACAGCCCATTCGAACTGCATGAGAATCGAGGACGGGTCCTGGCTTTAAAAAAAAAAATCACTCAAAGGAATACTTTTTTTCTAAAGGTGAAATAATTATTCTTATGGATGAAAGATAAATTATCTTTTTTTTATTTTCCGAGTCCTCCGAAATTCCCACCAACCCCAGCTTCGCTCCGGGAAACCAAGGTAATGAGCAGCTGCCACCTGACTTTTTTAAAAGCGATGCTTGACAGCCAACGGAGAAAATAATGGAAGAATAATAAAATAATCGAAAAATTATGAACATTGCACAAGAAAAGTGCGAATGTAACTGGAAAAAGATAATCTCGAGAACCGCACAAAAAATACAGTAGAGTGATACAGATTACGATCCCCTTAACCCTTATCCGGTTTGTTTCTCACGAACGATTTTCGACAGGCGCGCGTGGTCACGAACAAATTGCCTAAAATTCTTGGTTAAGGCATTTCTCTCAAAAGTTTTTTTTTGCATTGACGTAAGTGCAAATAACAGAGAATGTTTTCAATTTAGCACTTGGGAATACTGATCGAAATGCAAACTGTAGAGAAGTAGTTTTCATAATGGAAGTTTGACAGAAAAACGGCAGGAATAGGCTTTCTTGTCTACTGATCGGCTATGTAGAGAAAGTGAAGGGTCTATTGCACATGAGCGTACAATATGATTTCTGTCCTCATGACGTTGATATCAAAATTACACAGAATCAGGTTTGTCTGGATGAATAGGAAATATTTTTTTTTTCTTGAAGCGGCACCAATGGAGGCCGTCCCGGGATTCTAGCCAAACCATCCCGTGTGCTGACCTATTCACTAGATCAGTGTTTCCCAAACTGTGTGCCGCGGCACACTGGTGTGCCACCAGTAAGGCTTAGGTGTGCCGTGAGATTTGAGAGTTTACAAAAAAAAACTAAAAAAGTAAAACTTTAAAAACTTAAAAACAAGAGGGAACGCCATCTCTCAATGGAAAACGAACGAGTTGCACTATCACGGCTCGTATCAAACTGCTGTGTTCAGCGAGTTCAGCGAGCAAGCACAAGCAAGCAAAAGTTTCCCATTGAAAGTAAGTAAATGGCTAGGTGTGCCTTGGAAAGTTCAAATGTCCTTATGTGTACCGCAAATAAAAAAAGATTGGGAACCACTGCACTAGATCCGTGGTAAGCAATAGGCGGCCTGCGGGCCAGATCCGGCCCGCGGAAACCCTTCTTCTGGCCCGCTAAGACCTGACTATCGCACATTACGGTCTGACAGTAGACGTTCGACTGCACGTTTACCATCAGCCGCTCATTAAAATGTTAATTTTAATTACACTTGATAGGTATTGTCCCGCGAACGTAAAGCATTCTGCCATCCGGCCACCCGTAAAATTTAGCTGCCGAGCACTGATGAATAAATGTTGTGCAGAAAGTTAAAAGTTAGACTGAAGCCAGCCTCAAATGCGAAGGTGGGCTTCCATTATTTCTATGTAAGATCGGATGTGTGAACGGATAAACATGGTAAGCTGAAACTTGACACGGACACATACTAAGACTGAATTCAGGAAAAATGTCAAGTTTCGGGTGCAAGCCCTGGGGGTATATTTTATGGGGGGTGACGTTTCCTAATAATTTTTTTTTGTCCTACCGAATTGGGCAGAAATAGAAAACTGAAACTTTGCACACCAATAACTGAGATGAAGGTGAGTTCAGAAAAAATCAAGTTTTGTGGTGCGTACCCTCAGGGCACATCTTTTGGCTTTTCCAAAGTTAATTTGGAACCGGCAAAAAGAGCAAACGGATAAAGCTAAAACTTGGTAGGCACGTATTTCTCGGAGTATTGATTTCAGCAACAAAAAAAAGTTAAATTTTAGGTAAAACCCTTGAGGGCACTTTTTTTTGTGAAAAAGGTGCATTTTCCGGAATCTTTTCTCATCCAATGAAAGAGAGAACTAAAGAAAGTTTAACCTTGGAGCAGAAGTACCTGTTCGATTGCTGAGTGCATATCGTACTCTTTAAATATAACCCCTCACGGCAGATTATGAAGAGATTAGGCACACAAGAAATAATTGGAGTAATTAATTTGATGAAAATATCGGTTCGTTCCCTCTCGGCACACATTTCGACAGGCACACACTTTTAATACGTTTTTGCCACTTTGAAAATAAATAAATGAATGAATGACCTGGAAGGGCAAACAAGCTTGCTAGTACATGTATGTACGAGGTATATGGTACAGCTGAGATTTTGTAATGAAGAGAAAAATGTTAAATTTTTTACACGTTATTGATAGCACACATTAAATTAAAAGGAATTCACACCACGTCAAGAGAGACGAAATGAAAAGAATTAGAATAAGGTATCACATTTTGTAAACGATGAGAACAGAAGAACATATTGAAAAGAGGAGCCTGTCACAGCATGGTAGCTGTAAGGCCGCCCAGAGGTTTCCAGGGGCCCGGGGCAAAACTAAACTGGAGACCCCTTGGAGGCCCCCCTTGAGACCCCTTGATTCGTGGGGCCCGGGGCAGATTGCCCCAATTGCCCTGGGCGGCCCTGAGTAATAATCCAAAACAGCAGAGTTTATTCGAGAGAGCATTGACGATTAATTTTGCGGCTCGGAGGAGGGTCCTGTCATGCAATATACTGTTTCATCCAAAGTTAATTCAGGCTCTGTTCATTCTTGAGACAATCAATAAACTTCATATATAGTAGAAGGATAATTAGCCACAAGATGCTTGCTGAAGCCACGATGCCATCGTCAAGCCAACTTCCATCGGTCATCCTGGATTGATAGACGATTGCAGCAAGGGCCTTCGGAAGTTATGTAATATTAGCGCTCTCAAAAAAATACAACCAAAATTAATTGGTGTGTCGACGCTTCATTTCGTTGATGTTTTGTCTCGTCGATGTTTCGTCTCGTCGATGTTTAGGCACGTCAATGTTTCGTCTCGTCGATGTTTAGGCACGTCAATGTTTCGTCTCGTCGATGTTTAGGCACGTCAATGTTTCGTCTTGTCGATGTTCTGTCGTTTCGATGTTTTGGCGTCGATGTTCTGACATGATACACAATCTGATTATGGTGACAAAATGCATGCAATGCTTTCATGAGTTGATTGATGTTAGACCTCCTGGGAAGGAGGAGGTATAAATTCCATCTGAAAACATTGATGAGTTTGGGTATTTCATAAGTAGGTCTTGGTTAGGCTACATGGTAGGCTTACCTTATGTACAAAAGCAAATATGGAAGGTTCAACACAAAGATACAAGAAGTTGAAATAGGCCTAATATGAATAAAATGGAATATTTCAAACCTGAACTTTCCCTCCTGTATAAAAGGGCTCAGATGTCTTCTGAACCACAAAGCTGTAAAAAAAAAAAAGAAAGAGAGACATCTCTCAGACATCAATTCTGTTCAGGCAGTGTAGGGCAGTACACAACATTGGTTTTAGATTGAATTTGTTCTCCTCATAGGTATGTTTCCATGTATTGCAGTCAGTGACATCATCCAGACAGGGGTGATTTCATGGATCATTTGATGAAGCAGATCCTCTGGAAAGAGTACTTTCTTTGTTCTCCACAGCCCAGGGAGGGGGAACAAATTCAACCCAAAAACAGCAAAGGTTAAACTTTTAACTAGGCTGGTTTGGCCCTGACACCAAGGAAGAGCTAGGTCAAGACTTACACTTTACAGCTGCACTCTTAAGGGTGTTGCTTCTGTACAGCTCCTTTTATTATTAAATTAAGCCTAACTTTCTAACCCATTCACTCACACAAGTCTACAATAGGCCATTGCAAGCTGACCTGACCTGACCATTAGCATTCCTAACTTTGCTGTCTACACCCTATCATGCTTTTCTGAAGTCCATTGTTAAACTATCAATAAAAGCATGTGGAAGGTCAGGACTGAACACAAGTCAATTGGCATAAAGGTCCAATTCATGAGCTTACCATCTCACACTGGCTATCAAAAGCTAAAAAGAGTAGAACTCTAAAACACATATGTCAAGGCTAAGCTCAGCCCCTAAGAGCAGGCTGGACCAGATCAGCCTATAGAAATAACCCAAAGTATATACAGCATGCTACAATAATTAACCTAAATAAGCTTACACTGGGAGTAGTGAATGCTGGTATATTCTTCTATAATTTAATATTATAACTGGATTTAGACTCTAACTCACTATGTACAATAAAGCATAACATTGCTTTTTGGTAGAGTCAGACAATTTTTCCTCAACTTAGACACTTGTCCATGGGGTATTCCTCATGCTCAGGTGGTTAAGACAAGGGAAAAATTGTTTGACTCAAGTGAGAAACACTGTACGCCCTTCTCCTTCCTCTTTTTCCTGATATTTCTATCACCTTTGCTCCCTTAAGTTTGGCACTTTGTCAACAATTGAAGGGCTGAAAGGAAAAGAGTGTATATGCAAAAAATGTAAAAGTTTCAGTCTTCAATGTTTAAAAAAAAGTACTACTGAAATACCCGATGAATCTTTAGCTCAAATAGATGTATTGAAAAAAGAGAAAAGGAGACTGGTAGCAACAACAGCTTGTTATCAACTTGGGGCATGCCAAGTCATGCATTCTTGGGCAATTGGGAAACAGTGTCAATAAGACCTAATATCAAATTAGTATCATACCAGCAGAAAGGTCCACAAATACTGCAGGCATTCTAGGTCTCTACCACCTTTGGATTGGGAATCCAGCTCAAGACATGATATAGAATGATCAGAAGGGTATACATATATGAAGGGTCTGGATTCTACACTTATTCATTTAAGTATTTTTCATGAAATTTCTGTTCACCTACTGTGTTTTAACTCATCATGTTATGCTAAATTCTAGGACATTCTACATGTTTTTGAGCATTTTTAGGCTTTTACAGGCATTTCAAAATATTTTGGAATTTAAAAATAACTTTTAGATTAACCTTTTGATGATTTGGCATTTTTCAGCAAACCACCACTTCTTGTAGAGTTGATCGACACCTGGCTGACCTCTCTGTCATGTACAGTTCTCAGGGAGTAAGTGAGACAGGTGCCTGTTATGTATATAGATTAGTTCAAATAATCTCATGCATTTGCCAGGTGTTGCAAAATTACTAAGCCATAGGGTATCTGTGGTTCATGTGTTCTTTCATGTCAGACCTCTGCTAGCACATGATAGTCTTTGACGTATCATATGATTTTTGCCCAGTCCCAGGTAGCATTCCTAATAACTAATATATGTAGGCCAACTTCTACAGGTGCCAATAAAAAAAATATAAAAAAAAAACAAATTAATCACAGCAAGGTCTAAGTTACTTTTTAAAAGTAGGAAGTGCATCTGTTTTAAGTCCTAGCCTCACCACCTGCATTCTACAGCATCTAGCCTTCTGAACCCAGGCTTACTTCTTCCCAATCCACTATCCACAACCTGCAATCCTAAGCTTTACTAACCACATTCTCCAATTCCTTGGAAATTGACTGAGAGTGAGAACATGTGATTTCAGCATATTTCCATATCATTGGTGTGAATTCATTTGACTAGGTGTAGGACTGGACTATGGAATTATTTTGCAATGGTAGTTTTTGAGAAGGCTTCAGTCTGCCTCAGGTATGTCTGAGTCAAGTGGAGAAAGAGGCAAACTTCCAACTTAGTTCCATCTCATACCTTGAATTGACAAGAGAGTGTCTACATCTTGGGCTACCTAGGAACCTGCTATGTGGGTGCTTTAGCCTAATCTTCCTAACCCCTTCCCCTTTTTTATTTCAAGAGAGAGTAGGCAGCTCAATGACTCAAATTGGGCATGAACACCGAACGTAGCAGACGCTATACCCACCCCAACCTGCCCTTTTCATTCATATCAAACGAGTTACGAGGAGTGAAAACTCAATAATTGGGTATTATAAGAATGAGGGCCTCAGGAGAGCGGGACTAAAAAAAAAAAAAAAAAGAAACCCGCTTAGACATGGGAAGATTGACCTGAGGTTTAAACTATCTTTAAGATGACTGGATCTAGGCCCACCCTGAGCCATAGGCCAGTCGCAATAGAACACGTTAGATCTAAGTCCATACCCTAGGTTTGGCATAGCAGAGTTTACCTACCCAATAACAAAAGTACATGTTTGGTATATTCAAAGAACCCGACCTTGTTTTGAGAGCCATAAGACCATCCGGTGAAGCAGGGTTACGTTAGGCCCACATGAGCGCACAGGGTTCAATCAAGGAGAGCGCTGTGCTTCGCCATTGGGAGAACAGCGCTGCCGCATCTCGTTACCTCTCCTGACATGACATAGGAAGGATTAGGTCTAGCTTATGTATGAGACATCACATTGAAGCTTGTGTTAAGGTGATTTAATTCTCAATGAGATCATCGGCACACCAACAGTGTCGGGGCCGTTCTCCGTATTTAAGTAAGATGAGAGAGGGCAAGAGGTTGGCGAAGCTGGCTAATCATTTATTCATTTATTTTTCCTTATTCGGACTTAATCCTTTTTAACTCGGCAGTTTGAAAACTCCTCTAGGAGCATCTCCATCCGATGGTAATCTACCTGTGTCGTCAACCAACCTCGGGTATATCCAAAATCTCTTCCTGCATTGGCTCATGCTCAAAGTCTCTCTCCAATCAGAAGTCCCCTCTGCCTCGACTTTTGTTTTCGACCTGTTGCGTGCGTGATCTGTATGCCAGATGAGGACTTTGAAAGATTTCCTGTCTTAAGGGAAAAAAAAAGACCTCGTGCTTCTTCTGATACAACGGATAGTGTAATAAGATCGCTAGTGGAGTATCCTGATTTGGAGGAATACAGCAAGGAAACACCTGTGTTAGAAGATACGTAAACACTAAGTACAAGATTCCGCATCTGGGCTGTCGAGTTTTGGGGAATTTTGCTACCAAACTTCCAATCAGCTCATACCCGTATAAATATTTTTGGGCGGCGTTTATGTTAGCCCAACGTGATCCTCCGTCAGAACACGTTACCCCAATTTTATTCAATAGCGTAAGCCCTTCGTAAAATCGTGGGGCCTACATGGAGACAACGCTAAGCAGTTACCAATACAACAACTTGTAGCCAACATCATATCCACCAAATGCTGCAGGAGCTCTATTACTCTATTTGATATATAGCTGGCTTTCTCTGTGAAATTCTTCTCCATGTTCAGGTCTGCATTAACTTGCAATCGAATGAACTTAGCAGAGTTGCAAAACATTATCGATTGACAATCATAACAATATAATAGTGGTTCTCAAACTGTGCTCCACGAAAGGATCCCATCTGGCCTGTGCCAAAATGTAAGTAAAGGCTGTGGCGTTCCGATTCATACCGAAGATTTGACCAATCGTCAAATCTTAGACTTCAGTCTGACCAGAGTGAGAAAAATGTTTCCAACCAATTAGCATTCTGGCGCCTGTTTTCTATCATAGCGCCTGGAGAACTCGAATCAGACCCACCCTGAGGCAACTGTCTCGGGGGGGGGGGGAGGACAAGAAAATGAATATACAAGGTGGCCCAAAAAAGCTGCACCAATTTTGATCGGCAATAACTTGTGAACAAATTAACCTTTTTTCGTGTTCGAAACGGGAATTGAAAGGTCTATTAATCCTCTTTCCATCGCCATATCATTTATCAAATTTTCCTCAACGGAAAGGGGGGGGGGGGGGGGGGGGGGGGGGGGGAGGACAAGAAAATGAATATACAAGGTGGCCCAAAAAAGCTGCACCAATTTTGATCGGCAATAACTTGTGAACAAATTAACCTTTTTTCGTGTTCGAAACGGGAATTGAAAGGTCTATTAATCCTCTTTCCATCGCCATATCATTTATCAAATTTTCCTCAACGGAACCGGAGCAATTGCAATTTAAGTACAAGCACCCAAAAAAGTGGATGAACAAGGCTGGCTTCTTGCTAAAACCCTCTCTGTATGCAGCATCCTTGGGCATCCTACAGCGATTTTCCGTTGCGTGCTTGCAACTGCCGTGTCATTCAAATTTCATCCTATGAAAGTGCATTTAAAAAGTTAATTCCAGTCATTTTCATGGTTACTATTCAAACGATTATTTATTCAAAATCGGTTCAAGTCCTTCTTTGCTATTCGCTGAACTGAAGACCGCGGAATGCCTGTTTCTTTTGAAATACGCCGTACACTTAAACTGGTGCCTGGTTTGCCTTCTTGGCTGCAAATCAGTGAACCGACAGTCTGGACTTTTTTTTTGTGTACGATCAGTTTTTGGACGCCCACTGCCTGGACGACGTTTTCCACTTCCATAGTCTTGAAGCTTTTTTTAAAAAAATCCGCAACTGTTCTTTGTTTCCATTGGCGATCTAGAGTTGCCGAGGCAGCGCGGTTATCAAACACTTGTCACTCTCGCTCAAGACCATTTTGAAGGGTGCAAAAACCTAAAATCAAATTTTAGAGAATAAAATTTCAACTTGAAGATCAAAGAGAATAATTCAAGTTCAAACGAAGAAAAAACGCTATATTACACTGAAGAAAAACATGTCTGACTGCTGAAACTCAGTATGAGAGCAATTGAAAATAATTTACCAGCGAGACAACGGCAGCACGCTCGCAAAACCGGTTTTGAATCAATAATCGTTCGAATAGCAACCATGAAAATAATTGGAATTAACTTTTTAAATACACTTTTATAGGATGACATTTGAAAGACACGGCAGTTGCAAGCACGCAACGGAAAATCGCCGTAGGATGCCCAAGGATGCTGCATACAGAGAGGGTTTAGCAAGAAGCCAGCCTTGTTCATCCACTTTTTTGGGTGCTTGTACTTAAATTGCAATTTCTCCGGTTCCGTTGAGGAAAATTTGATAAATGATATAGCGATGGAAAGAGGATTAACAGACCTTTCAATTCTCGTTTCGAACACGAAAAAAGGTTCATTTGTTCAAAAGTTATTGCCGATCAAAATTGGTGCGGTTTTTTTGGGCCACCCTGTATATGTATGTCTCGATTTCTTCTTCCTCTGAGTTGAAGTTGATGCTACTTGGTTTTCCTTGTCATGTCACGGTGGAATGGGGATGATACATTGCTTGCCTTTGCCATTCGCAAATCGTGGCAATGGAGCACCCCGCGTGAGATCAAGTCCTAAAGCGGCGACGTATGCATCGGAACACATGCCGAACTGAATCACGAATATGACACCGATCTGTGACTGGCGTCGAACCGTTTCAATTCGTTCAGATCAAGAAAATACGAGGGAGTTAGAAATGGGTCAACGAATAGTTGGGCCACAATCTGCAGTTGAACAGAAAAGAAACTGAAACGAGTGGCTACTACAGTCTAACTAGTCAAACAGGAACAGGAGAATGATTTCAAAACCTTAGTCCGTTCAAGGTCCAGTTGACTGCAACTGCAACCAAACTGGGACCCATCTTAGGGCTATAGTTCAACAGCAACTGAATTGCTGCTTTGAAATCAACCACTGTCAGATGGATAGCACAGACATGCTCAAGAAAAGCGCCTCTTCAACGTTCAACGAACGTCAATCAAGAACATCATGTATTAGTGACCAAACGCACCTTAATTGAGTGCCCAAAAGCTGCTCATCCCTTAACCTTGAACATCAAAGAACCTCTTTGAGCCGGGATTGAGCGTCCTTCTGAACGTTCTAGTGCTACTTGGGAGAATCGTACTTTTTTTTTTAATTCACAATTGTTCCTCAGTCAAGACATTGTCAACATCTCTAAATACATTTGGACTTGACAAATACTCTCTGTCTCTCTCTCCACTCTCTGTCCACCATGGATTTCCCACTCCATCAGGAGTTATCACAATCATCAACAAATATAAATTCTGAGAACTCACTCCAACAGACACCTGCAAATACCTAGGTGTGGAAGAAAACCCTTCCCTTGCACTTAAACACGTCGAGCAGAAGCTGACAGCCGAGTACAAAGAGGTTCGGGGAGTGAAGTCATTTCTGAGCAGAGCTGAGGCCTCCCGAACGGGAAAATTCATTTCCGAAAAGCCCTCACAAATCCCCATATGGATCACACGTCCGTAGTTTCCTGTGAGACGAGGAGATCCATTCTCATTCTTTCATTTGGCCTTTCGGCGTGGCTTTGAGTCTTTCACTCTTTCTCAGTCTGTTTGGATACCCCATCGTCTTCCTTCCGTCTCTCTTCCTTCCCAGACTGCTGGTGTGAAGCATTGCTCCTTATTCTTTGGCTTCCGATTCCTTATTCTCGTATCTCAGATTTCTTCTCCCTTTGTTCTCGCAGGACCGTCCAGAGGGTATTAGCACGGACAGGCTGACGTCTTGGGGATGTCCGACCCGGTTCGTCTCCGCGATACCCACTCGTCTGCGTCTGCACGGCATCACTGTTGGCCCCCTTCGAGAACGGCCTATTCGGATCCTGCAAGAATAGATCGTCTCGTCTCGAAAAAGGTGAGGCGAGGGGGAGGTTCCAGGATCGCCTTGACGTGGTTTCCCAAAGTTTCAATCAA